TGTTTTTTAAGTTTAAGTTTGAGTCTTGTAGTATGATCAAATAATGATAGTGAAATGGATTTATTGATAAATAATTCATTCATAATTAGCATTTACATCAATATACACAACTCTTATTCCACTATTTCAAACTTGCCGCGAACCATATTTTTAAATGTATTTGCATAATTTTAAATAAAGTATTTTACTTTCGGCGTTGATGTTATGATTTTTGAGTTGATAACAATATCTAAACCGTATGTAAATGTAGATAAGTTTTCAATTATTAAAACATTAAAAAAAAACATCTTATCGATAAATGACAATAAAAAAAATACAAATTGGGGATAATATAGAAATAAAAATAATAGTAAAAAATGAATTGAAAAATAATTGAAAATAAGTTAATTTTTTCAAAAATCCATTTAAAATCACAAATTATATTGCGAAATGTTAAGATATTATAACATAGTACGGTTTTGATTTGTTGTATATGAAGGTTCATCTTATATATATTATTATAATTATAAAACTAGCAAAATATAAGGATAATTATCATTTACTTTTTTTTTTTATTTTTCTTCAATTAAGTTTTTGTTTATGTATTGACATTTCTTTAAATAAATTAGGTTTAGCTTTAATTTCAAACCAATCCAGTTATTTTAACCACCATTAAATTTATATACGCATGTATCATATACGATACATGTAAAAACAAATTACATGAAATAAATTTATATTTACAAATTACATGAAATAAATTTGTATTAACAAATTATATGAAATAAATTTATCTTAAAAACTTACATGAAATTATTACGATTTTTACAAAAAGACATTAATTGTGTTAATTTTTTTTAAATTGATTATTAAATTTCAGGTTATTGATTGTAAAAATTACTTTATATTTGGTGTTGTAAATATATGTTGATTGTAAGTTTTAATTTGTTTTTGAATGATATAATAACCGAGAATTATAAGATAAGAATTTGATTGAAATCATGTACAAAATTATCATTCTCCCATTTACTGAAAATGTGGTTGACTAATCTTTCAAATGCGTTAATGAAATTTTTTTTGTATTTGTATTTCCCGACAAATTGTATGTTTGTAATTTAGCAATTAATTTGATTTGGTTATTCTTTACTTTTTTTCAAAATATTTAAATTAAATATTTATTTCCAAGAAGCCAAACTTTTTTGGTTGGTTAGCCATCCATTTGATTAGAATAAACCAATGGCAATGGCCATGAAATCTTATGATTCTCGTTGTTTAGTTGTGATGATTCAATATATGTCATCATGTTATAATTATGTTAATGATAATATATACCGCCAATTGTTAGGAGGAAATTTTAAGTTATTTAATTTGTTAATTAGTGTCAGTTGCTTGTTTTTTTTCTTTTCATGTTAATGATTTGTTATATGTTAACTTGTTGCCTTTTGTTTAAGTTAATTAGTGGCTTTTTGATGTCCATTATAATTTTATACCCCTCATGATAATGAAGAATATTTACGAATCTTTTTCCCAAATATTTATGTTGACTTGTATGAGGCGTTGATTATGCAAAAAACAAGGATTTATAGTAAGTAATTTAAAATCAAGTTTACAAATGATATTATTGTACCATTTCATTCATTTAAATTGACATGATAATTTATTTTTCAGAAATAACAGGGCAAACATTTTCAATTTTTGAATTTTTTGACTTTTATTACAAGAAAAAATCATGAAATTGTTTTTTACTACCAAAAATTTTAAAAATTTTATTTTACCATAAAAAAAATTAAAAATTGTTTTTTACCCCCTGCTGTCAAAAACTTAATGGAATATTTTAAATTCTTCGATTTTTGTGCCAAACACATCATATTTAGGGGTTTTGGGGGGCATTTTGGCCCTTTGGGCCCAATTTGAGGTCGGAATCGACAAAAAATGATCATAAATGCTTCTTTTGTGCATTGAAAAATACCTCGGTTTGCGTAAATCTCGCAAAATGAGGCATTTTCGATCATTTTTGTCAATTCTGACTTCAAATTGAGACCGTAGAGCCAAAATGCCCCTTAAACCTATGAACGACATGTTTTGCGCATGAAAATCGAAGAGTTTTTCTTTAAACCGTTAAATTTAACGATTTTCTTGACGGTAGGTGGTAAAAACAATTTTTAGAAATTTTTTTGGAGGAAAAGATAAATAAAGATGAGGAGTCTAGGACAATGACCTGTGAGGTGAACTTCTATTTCTTATTACTATTCAGATTATTCCTTTTGGAATCGTGAAAATAACTGCATATATTTGGTGTTATAGATGTCAAACATAGAAGGGAACACAGGTCAGACTAGCCGTTTGATTGAAACAACAACAGTAGAACAAGAGACAGTGATCGAAACGACATCGAAGGCTACAACGAGGTTAGTTTTTCGAATGTCTTAAAAGTATATACCAAATATTGTAGCCTATTTGTAATGATAATTTATGCTCACAGTGAACTGGAGGAAAAGATAAGTAAAGATGAGGAGTCTAGGACAATGACTTGTGAGGTGAACTTCTATTTCTTATTACTATTCAGATTATTCCTTTTGGGATCGTGAAAATAACTGCATATATTTGATATTATAGATGTCTCTCGAGTTCCATTTTCAAATTGGAAATTATCTTGGAGGAATGTATGAGGGGAGGGTGAGTTGTGGAACCTTTAATTATGAAAAATCTTTCATCGAGCCAAGCTCTTCCCAAAAGAAGAATGTTGATGTGCAGAGAAAACTTGGATTGAATAATGAGTTCATTATGGCAATAGATTATTTGGTCGATAGTGAAGCATCATTTGAGCTTTTGGTGGGAGAACCGGTTATGCCGGTTAGATATTTTTTCCAAACACAATTGGAGTTATTTCAGAGTACAAATAAGCAATGTGCGTTTAATGAAGAATCTAATTCAAAATGGTGGAAACACATTGCTGGTTTTTTACTCAGATTTTTGGGTAAGTAATTAATAATGTAATTATGTGACATGTATGTTTATGTTTATTATGTTCAATATGAAGTTATATTACCAATGTTGGAATTATAATGTAAAAAATTAAGTTAACCTAACAATTATTTTTTATTATTTTTCAGTGATGTAATCCATGGGTTAATATAGTTAAACTCTATGGGTTACGTATGTGGTGATTACCAATGTTAATTTAATAATTATATTCTCATAATTATATTATTACTAGTTTAAAACTGCAAAAACTATTATTTCCAAAAAAAAAAAAAAAAACTGTCAAACCTCCGAAATTCGTCTCTACACTTCAAGGAAAACTCAACAAAATTCTTCCATCATTAACCTGTTATTTGAAATTTTTCAAAATCAGATTTCATATCAAACTATTTGCTGGAGATTTAAAAGTTATCGAAGGAAATCAGATTTTCTACGATGGTGAAATTATTTGTTGTTGTTTGTTAATTAGTTTGTCTCTATTTTTTTGTTTTCTTTCTACATCATAAATGCATTAATATGGTGACATGTTGCAAATATGAATTTAAAATTGAATTATTTAATGTGATAAAATATTATTAAAACTTATATACAATATATGTAATAACAAATTACATGAAATAAATTTGTATTAACAAATTATGTGAAATCATTAAGATTTTACATACTATAAGAAATTAATAGTGTCAAAATTCTTTATTTTAATTCATTATTAAATTTCTGGTTATGGATTAAATTGTGCCTTAATTGGATCAAAGACCGAGAATCATGATATAAAAAGTTTGATTAAAATCATGCAAAATATTATTGATGAATCTTACAATTTTTCGAAAGATTTGATGGGATTCCTTGTATTTGTATCTCCCGACAAATGGTATGTTTTAACTTTAACAAATTATTTTGATTTGGTTATTTTTCACAATTTATTCATAATGTCTAAATGGAATATTTGTTTTTTTGGAAATATATATTTTTTTTGGCTGGTCAACCATTCAATTTTTTTGGTCAATGAAAGAGAGGGTCGATTTTATCATGGATTTAAAATCTTTTATGAAACCAAACATTTTAATTGAAATGGATTTAGATGCAAGTCTTATAAAACTCGACTCTTTTGCAAGTTAAGGTGGAAAGAGTGTTTCATGGGATGCAATGATGAGGATGAAGTGTTTTAGGAGATCTATAACAACACTAAAACTAATGGTAATGAAACTTTATGATTCTCATTATCTAGTTGAGATGATTCGCTATGATTCTATATGGCAACCTGTTACCATCATGTTAAAATTTATGTGTACCGCCAATTGTTAAAAGAAAAAGTTAAGTTATTTTTTTTAAATTTGTTAATTAGTGGCAGCTGGTTGTTTTTTTTTTTTAAAAAAAAATTATGTTAATAATTGTTGGAGGTAATCCGACACAGATTTGGATGGGTGTTTGTTCCAGTGCACAATAAACATTAAAGGCTCGGTTTTAACATCTTAGGAATGAAAATGGGTTTTAAGATCTTTAATTAATAGAAAATTGGGTGAAATTTAGTGGTTGAAATGACCCCTTAATTCATCATTTCGAAACTTGTTGTTTTTATTGCAAGATAAAAATACAAAAGTGAATCTTTTACATAATAAATAAATGTTTTAAATGGGCCCACTTGTAGTTACTATATTTTTTATGTGATAGTATGTTAGTTTGTTATTGATTTCACCCTCTGACCAACTCAACAAGAATGTGACTTTTGTTGTACAAAGTTTTAAAGCTTGATGTTGTTTGTGGCTCTTGAACTCTTAAGATTTCTTGTTGATAAAAATAAACTCAAAAATAGACTAGTACAATTCTAAACAAGTAATCTTTGTATATCCGAAGTGTATGTCTCTCGCTCTCAAATGCATTGTTTGAAAATTGATCAATTCTACTGTCCCTTGTTGATATGTTATGCCTTAACTTTATAGACTTTGTGCTGTTAAATATTCATATGACTGTTTTTATAAAGAAATCCGATATATCTCTTATCTAGAAAAGAAACCATTCCATGAATTGAAGTCCACATATTCCTCTACAAATCTCTTTACATCTTTCATTCCTTAACAATTGTACAAGTCAAAGGTTTATGGGTGGACAGGTGGTGCTTATTAATTAATGATATACATTATAGTTGATTAAGAAAGCACCTTATATGTTCTACATGTGATGTTATATTAATTTGTAAAACCTTTTCTTACTTGTAGGTTCATTTACTTACAAATTAATGAAATCATCCTATGCTAATATATCAATATGCAGCATAGCAGAAACAACTAATAAAGGACTTAACAGATAGACATAACACTAAATAAAACAGGAATTATCAAGTTTTTGGTGTTATTTTCTTTGCTGAACCTTGCAATTAGTCTCTGATTCCTGCTAACTAGCAGGACTTGTTCACTACTTCTAACAACTTCTTGAAATCTTCGTTGCAGCTCCCCTTGGAGCTAATGGCCTTTTCCACAAGACTTCTTAGACCGCTGACATTTTCTCTCATTTTTTTGCCTTCATCACCATGTAGAATTTTCTCCAGGCTCTTGACTACTCCATCCTTGGTGAGAACTCCGCCTTCAACTTCCAAACCTATCTCCCAAACAGCTTCTACTAATCGTCCATTCAACATCTGTTCACCATGGAATGGCCTTCCGATGAGTGGAACTCCAGAGGCTACGCTTTCCATTACGGAGTTGTGACCGAAATGGGTTATGAACACTCCTACTGCATCATGTGCCAAAATATCTGTTTGTGGTGCCCATGACACAAGCATGCCATTCTTCCTGCTGCTCTCTAGAAATCCATGGGGTAGATGCTCCTGTAAACGTCGTTCCCATGTCAAATACTTGGGCAGTAAAATGCAGGAACATCAACAGTTATAGTGCAGCACTGCAGCATCTAGCCGTCTATAAGGTAATTGAGGATGAAAATTCAATCTTGTAAGAATGCCTTGCATGTTACTACTCTAGCTAGAAGGGTGTATATTAGACCTCTATAGTGTAACACTATGACAGCCAAGGGTAGCTAACTAGCTACAATACGGATAGTCAGAGGCTTACAATTGGCCTTACAAACAACACATTTTCTTCAGGCACATTTTGGTTTCATTCACGTGTACAGTCAGAGACTTTCCAAGAGGTCACCCATCTAAGACTTCATCCGTAGTACTCTACTGTACATCAAATCAGAGTTATCTTCATCACATATAGAGTATAAATGAATTTGTGTTAGTACCTTGTTCAAACATTATACTTTGGATTTGTTTCTAGGCTTATAATTAATTAAAAAAATGGTTATAAACATTGAGAGAATTTGCAAAGTTGCATATATGTTCTCTGCATCCAATTTAACCAAGAAAGCCTACTGATATGCATATTCTTGAGACATTGGCTTAGGACTAATTATGTTCATATTGACCTCAAACTCTATATTAATTAAACAAGTACATGACTGGCATTGTTACAGAAATTGATCACTATAGAAGCGAAAAGGAATTACCTTTAAATCGTCCCTTAGAGACCATATAAACTTGACTCCACTTGCTTCCAATCCTTGAGCTAAAGCTGCAATCTCACTTGGACTAGGCCTTGCAATAGAGCCAAAACTAACATACACAACCTCTGCCTTATTATGACCCTCCTGCTGTTTATCAAGCCAAACTAGGCAGTTGTTTGTATCAGGAGTTTTCGGTGGTGGCATCATTAGACTAAGAGGTCCAAGGCAAAGCAAGTTTGGCAGCTTCGACTTCAAATCATCGAGTACAGCAGAGTTGAGCTCTGCACATGTACTAACACACACTGCAGCTGCTCGCGGTAAGACTTGAGCCATTTGGTGAAGCATCTTTGAGAAGAAGGATCCGAAATTTCCCATGACAATACCATCAGGCAAATCTCTTACTCTAAACTTTGACATTCCTGGTACAAATTCTAACAGCTCATCTTTTCTTTGTTCAGCAATGCCTGTACTCATTTAGGAAGGGTTAAAACATCAGCTATGTATGTTATTTGGAGTTAAATACTTGTATCATACACGAGTATGGGACCAAGTGTCACACTTGACTGTTTTATGAAAGGTTTTTTGTCGTGTTTATGATTTAAAATAAAGTGTCGAAGTGTCTATACACAAATTGGAATATCATAGAACCGATACACATACTTGAGGTAAAGTGAAGAGTTCTAATTAAGTATCATAGCTAACACAAGCAACATGTAATGAAATTAATGTTTATAGTTTCATAATTAGCTTCATGTGAAAATTCAAGACATTTTCAACACAAATTCTTTATAAATAAATGTCAGGCGATAGTTACATGTACTACCAATTTCTAGTCTGTGTACTTAGTACTATTAACATTCATCAACCCTACCATATTAATTAGTTTAGCCACAATATAATTACTACGAGTATAAAATATAGACTACCTTTATCCGGCCTTAAAATTTGTCACATTTTTTTTTCTCTATTAGGTTGCTCCCGCGTAGTGGAATCTTAACTACAATCTCACGTAATTATCTTAGTTTCTACTAGTTTTCTTTAATTATCAATTTCAATTAATCAAAACTAAATATAGTAAATAAAATATAAATATATCGGGGTAAATAATTGGGGACAGAGGGAGTATATAAGTATACGATGATTTTACCTTGAATGCCAATCTTTTCCCTAATAAGATCAGTGTAAAAATGAACAGCAAGTGAATGTTCTTCAGACATGTACACAGGCACCCAAGGCACACCTTTCTCTTCAGCCATCTCCACCACAAACCACAAGAAAGAATCCCCAATCATACAACTAACCTTCCTCCCCTTCTCCTCCTCTGCCTCGGCCACCGCCTTCCTTAAACTCCCGGGGGCCGAAACCATGAATAACTCAATTGGTTCTTGTGGGTTACCATTGAAAACATACCCTTTTGGCATCCCATCCCAAACATCATAAGCCTTAATGTTAGGCAACAAAATTTCATCTTTACACCCCAAAAAAGTCTTGTTATTAGACTCATTAGTACTAAAAAATGAGAAGATTATAGTAGGTGCAAATGAGGCTAATCTTTTGGTTATGTTAAAAAGTGGTGTAGCATGTGTTGCAAATGGGAAGGCAAATACAGCTACATGAAGTTGATCATTAGAAGATTTGGGGTTGTAATTTGGACTTAAATTTGACATTATGGTATGATTTTAAAGGATTATTATCAAACGGGTTTGTTAATTAATCATAATAAATGATATAATTAATCAAATAGTTATATGAATTGAGTAATTTGGGTTGTGATATATGTGAAGATGTTTCTTGGAACAATAAATAGGTAATTATCCAACAATTCAGAATAATAATATAAATATAAAACTACATAATTGATAAAAATGAAAGTCATCTTTTTCCTTCAAAAGAAAAATATTTACTCATAAAAGAAAAGGTCTTCTTTTTGTGATTTGGTAGGTATAATATGTGGTAAGTAGGACATCCAACGGTTCTACTTGACAAAATATATATGGTGGGGATACCTTTGAATTGTTTGTTACGATATTTATGAGTTAGTTATGAAAAGATCCAATTTCTTATGTTCAGAATTCAGATATACATTAAAAGCTTTTTTCTTTGAAATTCTAGTATGGGGCTATCTTTAGACCTGTTCAATGGGTCGAATTCTGACCAAACCTTAATTAAAATGGATCAGGTTGGGTCATGGTTCATGGGTTATTAGGCTCGACCCGACCTAGCCCATTCACACCTTGTAAATAAAATTATAACACATTAACAGGTCATTAAGCAAAAGAAAATTTGAATTTTATATAGGGTTTTTAAAAGGGTCTTATAAAGCCAATAAGTTAATACGGGGGTGTTTGGTTGATTATATTGGAATGGATTGGAATATAATCTTATACTAGAAACATATGGATTCTAAAACCCATACAAGCCTAAAGTTATTTGGTTTATTGTTGGAATGGACTGTATTCTTCATTAATAGAATGGATTGTGAATCTTTGGGGGAGGAGAGGGGGGAGGTGAATATTAGAATCCCTTAGGCATGAGATTCCATTACTAAAAAACTCAACCAAACAAAAAATAGATGGAATTGGAATGGATTTTAATTCCATTCCAATGCATTCCAAATGATATCTATATTCATTTTCATTCTTCTGTACTTTTTTGACTTGAGTTTCTAATTTCCTTTTCCTGCAAAGTTAGCCTACATGTCATTAATTTTAAAAATTATCAACATAGATATGAAATGTGATCAATATTTTAAAATTATATGTTTAAAAAGAAATTAACAATATTCCACAAGACTGAGTTTCATAAGCGGCTGATCACATCGTATGATCGAGGTTACTTATTCGGGATTACTCGATCAGGGGTTACTTGATCAGAAGTTAATTAGTCAGGGGTTACTTGGTTAGAGACTCAGGGGTTATTCGGTCGGTCAGAGATCAATCAGTTGGTCAGGGGTTATTAGATTGGATCAGTGTTTTTGTGTGTGTCAACTGGCCACACGATGATTTCAATGTAGTAAAAATAATTTCATTTCACTAACAATAATTTCAGCTACTTAAAAATAATTTTAGTAATGATTTAACAAAAATAAGGCGGAGTGACGTCTATAACGGGCCCTAAGTGTAACGGAGTACATTTTGGCAATTGTACAAATTTTCAAGTGACAATGTTCCTTTGAATCCTTTCAGGCTTTTCAACCCCTTTTCTCTTCCCTCTTTCTCCCAATTTTCTCTATCCTCCCGGCGCCATGGGAGCACCAGAAACATATCGAGAACGAAAAAGCTGCCACTGGTTTGATATAATCTGTTGAAGTTAGACAGTTAGTTATTATCCGTTTAGTAAATCATTAATTATTGTTGTTGTTGTGCATTATTTGCCAATTTATCATATACTATTCACTAATTCTTAGTTTTAATCCAGCTAGATACTTGAGTAATTTTTATGCATTCATTCAGTGTTGAAGCTTGAATGATCATGTGATGTTGGTTGCTGTTGGAAGAAAATGATGCCATATAATTGGTATCTATAATTAGTATTACTAGTTCGAGTCATGGTATTATTGGCTATCAGTGGCAGATCTAGGAATTTTATTAACTACTACTCTTGTAATGGTACCATTGTAAATTTGTGAGTATGTAGTAATAGAGGTGTTACTTTGCTATTTTAGTAGAATGAACCCTCTTCCTACTATTGTTGAATTCAATCAATTTGCTATTTTGTCCAATGTATAGGAACCTCGATGCTCTCGGTGTGTTTTCCTAATCATTATTCCCTTGCTATCACCCTGAATTGTTATTGCCATTTGTTGCAGGTTGATCTTGCCGTCTCTGTCTTTGGCAAAATTATTAAACTCGGGTTTCGTCTTCATGATGTCACCTTTAATACTACTTCTATTTCATATTACTTGCAATGATTTGACATAAAGTGTGAGTGCAAAGTGTCTAATCATTACAAATAATATGAAACAGAGGTAGTTACTTAATGGCATTGCTCTCACTGGCAACTAAACTTGAGCATTCGATTTTCTTAAGTCTTATCTACATTATGCACCAGCAACTTGTGCAGCCGAATCCCTGATGGTGTCACCTACAATTGTCTCATTTAAGGGTTATCTTTGCAAGGGATGTTGGTAAAATACCTGTCGATTCCAATAACAAAAATAGAGAAGATGAAAGGGAAAACACTTTATTGAAGATCTCAACTCACAGTCGCGCCGTGGAACAATAATCCACTGCCTTAGAAGCGAAATATGCCACCACCGGTACAGGTTTCCTGATGACGCACGCCCCCCAAGTTTAACGCAACTCTCTCCGTAATCCGTGCACCCGAACTCGAAGAGTAGAATTGCTCAAGAACTGTTCAGATCTCAAAAGGTAGGTTTGTGTTTCGGCTAGAAAGTGAATAATAATATCACGAAAGGATAAGACTCGTATTTATATGAGTCCTAGAAAAGGAAACACGTAAGTCAAACCGACCTAGGAAAAAATGCGGGCCCGATCGGGCGAGCTGCCGCCCGATCGGGCGCGAGATCAAGTTTTTCCAGACGTAGTGTCGCGCCCGGTCGGGCGATCTGAAATCCCCATCCCGGGCAAGCCATCGGGCGAAGCCGCCCGATCGGGCTCGTCAAAAACTTTAGTCCGCCGCCCGGTCGGGCGAAGCCCGCCCGATCGGGCGCGAGAGATCTTGTAGAAAAACTCTTGTCCGTCGCCTGATCGGGCGCGAGAGTTCCCTATTTTCCTTGACCACCTTCGCCCGATCGGGCGCGAGTCATCCGATTGCATTACTATTTCCAACAATCCCCCACTAATGCGAGCGGATCTTCAACATGAAATCTGAACAGTAAATGAAAGTCTTAGTACTTAAATGCTAGTATCCAAAGGTTTGAACTAACACATTAGTGCACAAGGTTTTCAACACTTCCCTAGTGAGTATCCTAAGATTTGAACTCCTAGGAGCGAGGAAGGGACATTGAATGCACATACCTTGACTTTAGAGCTTAAGCAACTCCGCCAATCTTGGCCTACACCTTGGGCTCTCATGAGTACTTTAGGAAAATTACACCACAATTTTACCTTGAAGGAGGCCACCCCTCGTACCCACGTAGGTGTTCCGTCTGTGTATAAAATACACATTCCCAGCACATCTAGGGTCTTACCTTGCAGGCTTAAAACACATTCAAGCACCTTGAAAACCCAAGATTTTCTGTGCAGTGGAATAAGAACATTAAGAACGAAAAGTTCAACCCTATCAAATCGAAGGTGCATCTATCAATCCACTACTCAATGAGCTCTTAGGCTAGATGCATTAAGGGATACTCCCAACCTCAGTCATTCGGTACCACTATCGTTCCCTACTCGAGAAGTATCAGGGCTAGTGATTCTAATTTATTTAAGAATCACTATCGTTCCCACCTCTCAAGCAACTGGGCTAGTAGTATTAAGAGCAAGCAATGATCAACCTTCCACTTTCGGTGTCATTATCAATCCTACTCTAAGAGCCACTGGGCTAACGGTCTTAAATCCACTTAAGAACCATTATCAATCCCTGCTCAAAGAATAACTGGACAAATGACATTAAGAGACATGCTCAACCTTACTGAATCCACCTGATCAACAAACCACTGAAAAAGGTTATAGATTCAATAAACATAAATGGTGTAAATCCAACAATGAGTCAACCAAAACAAGGCTCCAGACCCATTCAGAACAAAAGTTCAACAAATTGAAACATTTCGGTGTGTCCATGTAAGCTGTCTCAATTGACCACCCAAACTGGGTTATGGACATATTAAGAGCACTTAAAGCTCAACCTGCAAGCATCAAGCAACAAGTCTACCAAAGCATCTCATAACCATATAAATTAGAGGGTTATCAAGCTAGATCACTTCAGGACGTAGACTCTATTTTTAAACTTCGTCACTAGAATAATTTAAAATACCCCACAGGATCTTAAATATATTCTCATAGACAATCAAGCACTCACCTGTGCTTCATCCTAGTATCAGGACCTGCTTGATTCTTCTTTGCTTTCACGTACTCTAACATGAGTATCACCTCCACAAGATCTGTCTAACTTTGTCACTACATCTGTAGTTCTTGACAACATACATAGACACTTGTGAAAAATAATGTAGAGAACATGAGGATCAACTTACCCCCACAATGGACAAACTTCCAGAGATTGATTTTTGCAACAATCATCTTCTTGACCACGTCATCCAATCTAATGAACCTTTGCTTCATAATGGATAGTGTACAACAATTTGTTTTGTAGATCACTCGAAACAGAGCACCACTCTTCATCATGTAAAAATCATACACTGAAGAGGTTCAACTAATCATCGTTATTCATTCAATCATTGTCTCTTATAGTTTACTGGATAGGTACTTGAGAAACTTTCTCACTTTAACCTTCATCCCTGTACTAACTGAAACTCAAAAAATAATTGAGTAATTCTCTCTTGACAAACAGAATGAACGATATAGTTTACAACAAAACCACTACACGTCAAGAATAGTTTGTTCATCATTTAGATCGCAAATCATTAGCACATTTGAACCAAACATCAAGGCCAAATCACGAAAATAACTCTGGCTTAGACATGATAAATATAATTTACCAAACCACTTTCTCTACATCACAATAATGAGATTGATGCGTACCTTTGTTAGTTCATCGGCATACTGCCTAGAACCATTCTGCTTATCACATTATCTTGTACTTGTCTCTTGGCTTAGAGACACACACACATCTTTATCTCAATTAACAACATGCATGTGAAGTTAACAACTTATGATCATTCTAGCAAATGAACTCTATCAATGCGAACCATAGTAACATCACACATGCATCAAGAAGTTCAACTCACATGCCAAGAAAAACTTAACATAACAAGTTAGAGTACTCAAATCTAACCCCTACTCACCATACATATCACAAAGGATATAACATCATGAGCAAAAAATACCTCATCTTCTAAGTTGTCACCTGTGCATGCGTTTTAAAATACACCCTTGATTTACAATCAATCATGCTAGGAAGCTTAAGCAACCTTACTGCAAACCAGACAAGCGTAGAATAAACCAGGTGAGTCATAAGAGTTGATCAGCACCAAACTTATAGAATAAATCCTAACAACATAGTATCTTACCTTTAGCCCATTTCCAATCAACCACCTTTCAACTCACCTTGAAAGATACTTATAACTGATGGATTTTCAATAGCAAGGAAAGATATACTATTCTCAAACATATCAGACTTAAAGAGAGTGCACAACTCGCGTTAACATGCTTCTTTCCACAACTAGTCAATCAGGTTTATCCATATGGTTCAGGAATTTTCCATTCACCACTACATGAATATATAAACCACACAACAAACATCTACATACAACTTTCGATCAAGAAAGTATAACCAAGATGAAACACAACTAGTTTAAGCTTTAATCCAATACACCTTAGATGATGAACTCATCAACTTTACTAAGCTAGCAGAAAAAAGATTAGGAAGCAAGAACAAATCCTGTGAACGAGCAAAACTAACATGTCATGTCATAGGAAAACATATACTTGAGACATTTCAAGGATTTAACATATCAAGCTCGTACATGATAAACGTAGCAGATATTCAGCACACATATCACCCACAGTCCCACAAGCCTTCACGTTTTATGTGAAACATATACAGAAGTCAATTCTTCATTATTGGAAAACCCCACATCACATATACCACATGAAAATAATCATGAATCAGGTAACAAATTAGGGAGCATCAACCAAATTCTTGGGTGAAATACTTACTAAACAAATAAACAGCTGATACATATCTGCAACCCCCACAATACTAACATTCACAGAATATTAATAGTTTTTTAAAGACATATAGAAAGTTAATTCCCATCCTTACCTCATGTGGGGCACTTACACTTCAAACTTGCACGGCCATTCTAGCTTTGTTAAGTCAAGCCTTTTTAATTCTGCTACTAAGCACGGAAAAAAACCCGGTCTAATCTAGACCATCAACAAGAAAAAATAATGGCTACACCTCTAGCCAATTACATACATTTCAAGTTCGTGAACAAAGCTAATTAAGATCACAAGAATTAAAATAAATAATAATTCTAAATCCCTTTTTAATCTAAAAAAGGAGACACTTATAAGCTTATCACATACTCCGTGCTCAACAAAACATTGTCCATGATTAGGAAAAATAACAATAAAAAAACACTATCATAAGATAGAACATATTTATATATCATCCCTAATCTGCTAGGACAAATCACATTACAGTCCATGAACATAAATAAATTACCATTGGACGAAACATACATTAGTAGAAATGAATTACTTGCAAACAACAAGCCAAAATCTATAGATAAACATCACTTTCGGAGACCTTCCTCCTCAAAACCACTCATCAACAAGAGTACAAACTAACTTACTAGTTAGTCACAAAATCTAACTCAAAACACCCCCACATTGCCAAACAATAGCTCATAATAATTAAATTATGTATATATAACAGGGGCACATAATAATAGACACAAATATTATGTAGAGTTAGAAATTACTTAAATAAATTGAGAAGGATAACTTATCTGATTACGAGCAATGGTCTCACCAGCTATTGTTGCATATCTCGGCTCACTCGCTAGACAGATTTTATTGAGTTATAACTCAACAGTCGACACCATTGCTGCCCATCGATCCTCGCACTCCATAACCAATTGCATTACTTGCAAATCCTGTTGGAGTCTTTGCTAGAGAAGGAGCAACCTTTTGATAATCTACCACTTTAATTAATAATCCAAATTAAAGACTTCTCAATTGCACCGCTTCCACCAACATACTTCAATGGTAATTTCAGGATTTTCTTTTCTCTAAATTCGAGTTCATCCTTCCAACAATGTACACAGATATTGCACACTGACGGATAAAATAAATTTCCCCAAAAATTAGGGTTCTTGAACATTGAATAATAATGGACGTTGACTTAATGGTCCCAAATCAATTTCGGAAAAATATATTGATCATCCGAATCGTAATTCTCATCCCGATCATACTAGTTATAATTGAATAATCCAGGAATCAACAGTATAATAAATTAATACTATTTCGCTTCTAAATTTTTGGTAAAATACCTGTCGATTCCAATAACAAAAATAGAGAAGATGAAAGGGAAAATACTTGATTGAAGATCTCAACTCACAGTCGCGCCGTGGAACAATAATCCACTGCCTTAGAAGCGAAATACGCCACCACCGGTACAGGTTTCCTGATGACGCACGCCCCCCAAGTTTAACGCAACTCTCTCCGTAATCCGTGCACCCGAACTCGAAGAATGGAATTGCTCAAGAACTGTTCAGATCTCAAAAGGTAGGTTTGTGTTTCGGCTAGAAAGTGAATAATAATATCACGAAAGGGTAAGACTCGTATTTATATGAGTCCTAGAAAAGGAAACACGTAAGTCAAATTGACCTAGGAAAAAAGGCGGGCCCGATCGGGCGAGCTGCCGCCCGATCGGGCGCGAGATCAAGTTTTTCCAGACGTAGTGTCGCGCCCGGTCGGGCGATCTGAAATCCCCATTCCGGGCGAGCCATCGGGCGAAGCCGCCCGATCGGGCTCGTCAAAAACTTGAGTCCGCCGCCCGGTCGAGCGAAGCCCGCCCGATCGGGCGAAGCCCGCCCGATCGGGCGCGAGAGATCTCGTTGAAAAACTCTTGTCCGTCGCCCGGTCGGGCGCGAGAGTTCCCTATTTTCCTTGACCACCTTCGCCCGATCGGGCGAGAGCCTCCCGATCGGGCGCGAGTCATCCGATTGCATTACTATTTCCAACAAGGGAGGCTATCAGATGCTGTTGAATTACTTCATATTATGGAAAGAAATGAGTGTCTCCCAAACACTTACACTTATAATATTTGTACGAGGTTTTCTTAGGAAACACGACAATTCAATGGCCATAGAGTACCTTCTCATAATGTATGATAAAGGTACATATATGGGTATTCGTATTCCCGATCATCTTCTTGAGTTTGTGCCTAGGGATTATGAGTTGTTGATAATTATACAATTCGCAAAGCTAGGAACAAGCCCATTCTTAATGATATATGAATATATTGTGCAAATCCCTTTTCTGGTTTATGAATTTTTTGGTATGTGAGTTTCTCTGTTGTTTGGTCTAAAATCATGTTGCAATCCACTGTTAAGAGTTCTAGATTCCAAGTTCTTCCTTATGCAGGTTCGTCTGCAAGGGGGAGTCAAAAACTAGATTCAGAAAATTTTTCTTGAAATTGAACCAGAACTGGAACTTTGGATACTTAGGGTCTGTTCTTATAGACTGAACTCAGTTGAACTGAACTGAACTGAATATTTTATAAGAGAAGGAAATTCGGAACTGAACTGAAAATAAACGTATGAGAATAGGCCCTTATGCTTATGCATATTATTTTTTTCATCTAGTTAGACTAGGTAACAAAGAAAGTGATGAACTTTGGCTTTTCTTCGTGCAGAATGAGAGAATCTTGTTCTTTCTTCTTGCAAAATGAGAGAATCTGGTTGAGGTGGGAGAATAGAATTGTTGCTCTGCAAAACATTATTATGACAATGGAGAGGAGGATAATAGCACAGCTTCTAAGCTTATGCTAGTTACCAGAAATACCAACAGGTTATTTGTTAATTTTTGTAACGTATATTTTAGTAGCATAAAATTATAATGAGTTATAATTTGTGCAACGAATCTACATTGAATTGTGAACTTGTATAAAATTTGATTTTCGAACTTCATTATAATTAAATATTTATGATAATCATGGAGTTATTTTTTAAACAAATAAGTTTGATATCAATCACTTCATAAAAATTTAAAGATTTTGAAATTAAAATTGGGTAATTCCAAGTTTCTCTTCTTGATAAACAAGGAGTGTTTCTCAAGAGGGTAATTTCGTACATTTTCGCAAGAATATGAGGGTAAATGAGAATTTTTTGTTTGACTCACTAACTTTTCATCAAACTGTCGTTAAGTCTCAATTTTGATGGAGGAATGCTAAAGAAATCAACCAGTGAAACTTTACCCAGGTAACCTACTCAATTTACCCAATTTGGCAGCGAGTGGTGGTGTTTTAAGAGCACAATAGCTGAAAATCTGAAATATATAGTCTGTGTTTTCTGTGAAGAACATCCAAAATCCGAAGATCCTCTTCAATGGAGTTTCAGAAGCTCAAAGGCTACTTCAATGGAGGAAGATTACACCCTTACCCTTTGGGGTTGATCTTGCCCTTTTTTTCTCCCATTTATTTTAGGGTTTTCGTTTTATTTTGCGGCGAAGCCGCCGGAATGGTGGTGTTGGTGGGGATGGGTGAGGATGAAAGCTTGAGCTCCTTTAATGGCTGATGTGAGAAAAGGAAGAAGAAGAAGAATAACGTGTGGTTGTTGTAGCCGCTGTCGAATTGGAGGAAACCCAGTTGCTGAGGAAGTCGAAGGACATTTATGCCGTTAATTTCACCATTTGACGCCGTTTTGATTAGTCCAAGTCAGCAAATATAGTGGATGTACAGTTAACACTTATTCTGATTATAATAGCATTACTTTACAATTCCCAATGCAGTTTAATTACAAAAATGCCATAAGAGATACACTTCTTGTTTATCAAGAAGAGGAATTGGGGCACGCCCATTAAAATTATTCAACCGTACAATTGTAGAAGTACTATAATAGCATTACACCTATGTTTTCATTACTAGTTCCAATAGCAACTTAAAATTTTTGTTGGAGCTTCCATCAGGGGCAATAGCCTTTCGAACCACGTTGTTTAGGTTTTTGATAGTTTCCTTCATTTTCTTCCCTTCGTCACACCACAAAATTCGATCCAAGCTCTTCACTACTTTATTCTTGGTAAAAACCCCTCCTTCAACTTTTAGTCCAATCTTCCAAACGGCCTCTACAAGTCGTCCGTTTAGCTTATGGTCACCAAGAAAGGGCCTCCCGATCATTGGAACTTCGGCTGCTATACTCTCAATAATGGAATGGTAACCAAAGTGAGTGATGAATACCCCTACTGCACCGTGTGCTAGAACATCTACTTGGGGTGCCCAAGGGACTATCATGCCATTTTCTTTATTACTTTCCAAGAAACCGTTAGGAAAGTGTACCTGTTAGGTCACGTAAAAAAGTTCAATGAATACTATAAATTATTATATTGTATTATGTACACATGACTATTTTATATAAACAAAGCAATCAATTAATCAAAACCTTAATCCTATAAGTAGGGTCGACTATATAAACCAAATTATATTATTTTATTTCGTATAATCATGGACTATATATAGACAAAGCGAGTAATTAATAATTTAATCTCATACCTTTAAGTGGTCCTTCATCGACCACAAGAACTTGAGTCCACTAGCTTGAAGAGCCTCAGCCAAAGCGAAAAGCTCATTTGGAGTTGGTGTAGCAACAGAACCAAAGCTCACATAAACAACAGAGTTAGGCCTTTGTTGGTCAAGCCAACCCAAACAATTATAAGTATCTGCCACTTTTGATGGTGCAACCACTAGGCTTAGAGGACCGACAGCGAACACGTTCGAGAGCTTAGACTTTAAGTCATTGGTAACAATTGGGTCTAATTCTTCGCAAGAGCTCAAGCAAATTGCACTTGCATAAGGTAAAACTTGACTCATTTTATGTAGCAATTGAGAAATGGGTGAGTCAATATTTCCTGTGACTATTCCATCTGGTATATCTTTCACCCTGATCTTGTTTAGTCCTGGTAAAAAATCCAAGTTTTCTTCTTCTCTCCCTTCTTCAATGCCTAGATCAATTACATGAAATGATTAGGACGATTAACTGAGATGGGAGAGCGTGACTATTGTAAAGGATAATTTTAAATTTTTTTTATTTAGAAAAAATGATTATTTACATATTATTATGTCATATCTATAATAATAATAATGGGAGCGAGGGTCAGTCCCTCCATCTCCCCCATGTGTGACCTGAGTTCGATGGGGCATCACCGTGGAAAAGTTTAATTAGGAGATGATATATTGACACGTGTCATTACAGATCCCGCTTTTGAATAAATTTCTAGATAAATTTAGGGCATGTTCTCATTGACTGAACTCAGCTGAACTTAAGAGAAGGAAATTAGGAGTTGAACTGAACTTCAACGTAAGAGAACGGACCCGTATTCATTGATATGTATTATGCATACATGTAAAATTGTAAACCCAAAAATGATTATGTTAACCTTCAATAATTTGAAAATAGTTTTTAATTTTGAGTTATTTTGGGTTAGAATTTAATAAGAACACTAGGTTAGGTCCCGTGGCATGCACGATGCATTTTAATATTCTTTATTAACTTTACATTTATTTAATTAAAGGAAAATGAGCCTTTTAATCCTTTGTTCTTTTAGATTACAATTCTTTTGTAGTAATTAAGGTACTCCGTAATATATAGTAGAAGGAGTTTCCTCAAAAAGAATACTCGTACTAAATAATAGAAGAAGATGATACAAATACCAAGTAAGAGTTTTTTGCCTAACTCAGTAGTTCTTTTTAAGTAAATGAAGATTATATATTTTATATTCTCAAAGATTGCATTTTTTTAAATTAACTTTATGTTGTCAAAACACATACCTTAGATAGTTGCATATCCATTTTCAAAATGAAAAAGATCATTAATTATTTTATACACTTAACTATGACAAATTAATTATGTAATAATTTCCTAAAATAAATGTTTTATAGGAGTTTTATAAATAATAATTATATATATAAAAAAAAATGACAGATCCGAAATCAACACATGTCATTGTTAATGTACCTTTTAGTATATAGTTATGGATGGATTGATTGAACAATTAGATTTCTTATACTAGAACTTTTTTTGTCATAATTTTTTCCTTAATAATTATTAATATTATAAATGTTAAATATATTAGTCTTCCAAACCGGTCCGGTTCAAGTTTTGGACTAGTTTTATCGGTCCAGTTTGAATCCGGTCCTAGTTTGTTGGAGCCTTACCCTGAGTACCAAACCTCTGTCTAATTGCATCAGTATAAACATGGACACAGAAAGAATGTTCTCCTGGGATCCAACAAGACACCCAAGGCACCTTAACTTCCAAAGCCAAATCACACAATAAATAAGACAAGAAGGCATCTCCCATAACACAACTCACTTTAACACCTACATTCTCCTCAGCTTCCTCTAACACCTTCTTCAAAGCACCTGGCCTCGCCACCGCCTTAAGGAAGAGGTCAATTTCCTCCAAGGGATTGCCCTTAGACACATACCCTACAGGCTTACCATCCCAAACTTCATAGGCCTTAATGTTGGGGCAATCTACATCAAATTTAGAACCTTTTGGAAAGAGAGTGTTTATTGAGTTGGGTGTGCTAAAAAAAGAGAAATGCACCTTGTTTCGCGGTGCTAAGGCGGCTAACCGCCTTATTATGTTTAAGAGAGGGGAGCCATGGCTTCCAAATGGGAAGGCATATACAGCTATATGATGGGTGATTTTGGCATTTACATTGGTGTTTCTATCTTCCATGGCAAAGAAATGAAATAGGCTTAGGAAAAAAAAACTCAAGTCAATATACTACCTTCGATTTTTATTAATTACAATTTTAAAATATTTTATATCTTACAAATAATACCCTAAAATTAAAACTAAAAAAAAACCGAAAGTAGTATATGAAATTTTCATGTTACATTTCTAGCTATATGTACTACTTTTTCACCACCTACTACAAAGTGGTACAATGAATCATCAAAATCAAAATTAATTAGGTTGTACTATAGTGCTCCACTATACTATTGTGCAGGTTAAACATGTTTTCATTGAAACATACTGTACAGGAATGAAATGAATCGATCAACAATTTCATTTATGACACAAACGTAATTAAATTATTTTCATTGTTAAAGACAAATATAGGGTTGGACTATACAGCATACTAGCAAAGGAGGCGCACCATCATGACACCCTATTTTCATTGTAATGATTTTGTACCGTCTTGTCTCTCGCGTTATGAAAAATAGTCGGTGCTTTAGGTAGGGTTAACCTCGTGTAACCCGCCCAATAAAAAAAATAAGTACAAATCTAATATATATATATATATAAAGGGGAGTTTTTTCCCGAGTTTTTAGAGCCCACGTAGGATTTAATTTTTTAAGCGCGCCATGTAAGATTTTAAATTTTAGTTATATCCAATCAAATAAGAGATTTTTATTTTCTTTTAAAATTGAATAATTCAAATGCCACGTAAGCAAAATTGGCGAATGAAATTTTTAAGTTTAAACTAATTAAATGTAAAATATTATCTTTTGATATTAGGAATATTATCTAAATATGTAATAAATTTTAACACATAAATTAAAAAAATGTTTTAAATAATTCAAACATACTGTGCATCGCACGGGCTCCATCTAGTCTATCTATATACTATACTAAAAGACAAGCACCTCAATGTGAGACTGATAAATGTCTCAATATGATTCGCTGTCTTTTATTAATTTTTTTTATATAAATAAAATCCTATACATCTTATTCTAAATAAATACATAAATTATTATAGTAAAGTCTATTATAGTAAAGTAATAGACATATGTAAATAATAAAAGTTACATAAGGATAAAAAACTTGGTATAAAAAAATATCAAAATAACATATGATAATGGTAATTCGTATGCATGCAAGGTATATAGTAAGAAAAGTATAAAAAAAATATCTTACTATATATAAATAATTAAAGTTACATAAGGACAAAAAATCTTAGTATAGAAAATATCAAAATATATATGTATGGTAATTCGTATTCTAGCAAAAAAAGGAGAAAGATCAAAGATGTAGGATATCTTAAAACCTAAGGTAACATTCTAACAAAAAAAATAAGGAATATCCTACGTATAATATTTTGTTACATATTTTGATCAAAAAACGGCAAAAATAAAATATAATATGTATATTAAAATCAAATCATATATATTCAAAAAATAAAATAAGATACAATATTATTTGTATTATCAACTATATAAATAAGAGTTATATAAATCGTAACAATTTTTATTTCAAGGTCATATTATCGAGGTTAATATATTTTTAATGGCGTTCGCTATGATATCTGACCTCACCCCTCTTAAAGAATCACGAAGAATAACAGTTCGAATTGTGAGGCTATGGTACCAACCTGATTATTCCAATCAAAAAAAAAAATTAACTCACTTGAGTTAATTTTAGTTGATGAGAAGGTACACTATTATAACTTCATAATTATTTTCGTCTTTTAGATATGTTTACTTTTTGTAATATGTACTTATACATTATAGTGCAAAATTGATTTTGATATGATAATGTTTAAACGCAGGGATCTAAAATACAAGCAACTATCAAAGAATCACTCATTCGATGATTTGAAGGTCTTGTGAAAGAGGGCACTCCCCGTATTATCTCTAGCTTCAGAATAATTACTAATGCTGGCAAACATTTGGCTACAAGCCATGCCTGTAAATTGAACTTCTATTATAAGACTATTGTTAGGGATTGTAAAGATGCACAACCTCCTCAATACGGATTTGATTTTGTGTCCTTCGGCAAAATCCTTAAACAACAAGTCAATGAGGTGATTTTAGTAGGTACGATTCATTATATCAATTTATTAACCATTTTTTATAAATTTCGTATTTTTTAAAATTGTCAACTAAGGCCCTGTTCTCTTCACCTTAAAAAAAATAATATTAAGTAAAAATAATTTCAGTTCAGTAAATATAAGTTCAGTTCAGTAAAAATTAATTTCAGTTCAGTAAAAATAATTTCAGTTCAGTAAAAATAAGTTCAGTTCAGTAAAATTCAGTTTTCTTAAAGAAGAATTATAATAGAAAATCAGTAAAAATAATTTTAGTTCAATAAAAATAATTTAAGTACAGTAAAAATAATTTCAGTTCAGTAAAATTAAGTTCAGTTCAGTAAAAATAAGTTCAGTTCAGTAAAAATAATTTCACTTCAGCAAAATTAAGGTGAATCAAATAGAGCCTAATATTTTTATAAGTTATTATAGATGTTAATGGACAGCTTACCAGCATGGACGATCTTATCAATATTTCAAAAAATGATACCCCAAATCACAAATTGACAATTGAGCTAGAAGACTTGCAACAAGGAATTCATCAACTCGAATTAGCCTATTTACTTGACATTATTGATGATTTTTGTTATTAAACATATAAGACTAAAACCTACCATTAGGAAAAATTGAAAATAAATTAGAAATGAGAATAATGTAAAATTTTATTTTATATTTGACGGGAATGTAAAATATTATTTGCATTGTCAATTCTTAATCCTTTGGTTATTGTTAGTCTATATTTGTGTGTATATATATATTTGTGTTTATGTTCATTGTCATTCCCAAGGTAATGCAAATCCGGTATCATGTGGGGTCTAAAAATAGAAATTTTATTGAAAAAATAATATGATGAGTAGCATGTACTAGGGTGTGGCGGATGTAGAATATTTAGTGTGGAGGGGCACTAAATATAAATAAAATGCTTGTATGAGGGCTTGAACCTAAGACTTTTAGTCCAAACTTAATGCATTACCACTATGACAAAGCTAATTTGATGTTATTTATTGCATAAAAATTGTATTTAACCTATAAATTTATATATTTACTTAAATAAAAAAATGAAAAATAAAAAATTTAGGGGGGGGGGGGCGGTGCCACCCAGGCCCCTTCATAGATCCGCCAACGGGTTGGCTAGCTACTCGAGTGAACATATTCTAAAATTTATATGAATCATACTAATGCTGAACATATTTGTTTTTTTAATATTACCCCCGCTTCTATTACTTGCAAATTGTACATGGGAGTATTATTTATGGGATATAAAAAATTTCTTAGTTGCAGCTAATAAAAAAATAGAGTTTGTTTCAAACTTAATTTTTTTTTTTTTTTTTTTTTTTTTTTTTTTTTGTAAGTAAAACCTACATAAAGTCTTTATTCATAGGAAAAAAAAATATTTTATTATGATGTTTATTATTAGTTTGACTCTTCCACTGGATTGAAATCCACAATTTGGTAAAATTAAAAATAAATTAGAAATGATAATAACTTAAAATTTTATTTTATTTTTTTACATGAACATAAAATATTACTACAATGATGAATCATATAACTAATATATATAAAGCTAAACTTTTAGCCAAGTCACGAGGCAGCGACACTTGGCGTTCTAACTTTTCGCCAAGTGTCGCGCCACGTTGGATAGATTTCAATAGACTTCATAAGATTAAAAAAAAAATAGTTTAGAATTCTATTTGGATAGAATTTTAGGATAAAATTATTAGTTTAGAGTTTTATTTTTGATAAAATACCAATATTTCAAATGTACAAATTAAATTAAAATTTTATTCAAAAAAAATTATTAGATTATAATTCTAAAAAATTATCTTATAAATTTATTTTTTATATCATAATTTTTTTTTTGAGTGAAGGAAGTAGTTTAAAGCGTAAAACATTTATTTATAATATATACAAATCGGTTAAAATAATATGATTCACAATCTAATAAAATTTATTACTATGTAGACCTGTCACTATGTAGACCTGTCAATTAGGGTCGGGTCATGAGTCATCTAAGATTAGGTCACTTCAGGTTACGAGTCAAGAAATGTTCAACCCTTACCCAAAGTTTTGGGTTTGAGTCAACCCAACGGGCTTTGAACATTTATTTTATTTAATTTTTTTTTTTGCTAATTTTTTTTTAATTTTTTTTAATGTATTATATTAAATCGAAAATTTCCACCAACATTATTATTAGTCATTATATGCCTACTAGAAAACAAATCGTAACAAAAACACATCAATTCCTAACTAATTTTGTATTAATTATATGTTTTAAAAATTGATATAGATTGAAAATTTATCTTAAAATTCAATAAACAATCCGTGCATCGCACGGGGCACAAAACTAGTAATTATTAAACTCATCCACAAAGCTAATCTAGCACAAACAATTTTGTTTAACATTTAACACTACTAATTATTTATTAAAAAGCTCAATCATTATCAATAGCTCGATTGATCATTTATAGCGCGATTAAAACCATAAATAAATGAGATTCTTATGTGTGTTCACTAAAAAGCTCAATCATGATCATAAATTAATGGTATTCTTAATTTTTGCCCCATTATAAATAAATATGTCAACCCTTAAAAATCAAAAAATATATATAATGTCTAGTAAAAAGCCCAAAAATTCCTAAAGAAGTTTGTATTAGCGTCCAAGCTCGCTTACGTCATACCAGTATATGACTTATACATTCTATTTTAATTACGCACAAATCCCAAAGCAAGTGAAACACACGTGATTTCACTACTTGCTGCAAATTAAACTACACAAATCAAAATACAATACTAACCTTTTAGAGTTTTAGTATCTCCTTTTTATATTCTTGTTTTAAAAGACACTTTATCAATTATGGATTATTTCTATCCAAATGCCTTGAATTATTATTTCCTCTTCAATATTTTGGTTGTGCAAGAATTGAGTCTTAGCTATTGAACTTAGCTATTACTCGTATTTGATTTTTATTTATTAAGGTTTGTTCTCATAACCTAAACTGAGTTGAACTGTTTATGAGAGAAAGAAATTAGGAATCGAAATGAACTAAACTAAAATTAAGTTGAATAGAACAAACCCTTAGTCATAAACTCATAATAATTACTCCTATAGTTCCTTTATCCATCCTTTGAAGTTATATATATATACATATATGTATATTATGGTATTTGTATAATTAATACTCGTAATATTAAAGTAATTTGGCCCCCGTAAAAAAAACTATCAAGGTTCGCCACTATATATATATATATATATATATAAAATTAAAGTTTAATTGTCAACTTATATGTGTATATATAGTAATGTTAAAAGTATTTTCTTTTACGACAAATGAAAAATAATCTAATACTAAGCATAAAATTTAGTTTGCTACATATTGAATAATGAATTTTATTGTATACTAATATTAGCAAAAATAAACAAGTTATTATTATTATTATTATTATTATTATTATTATTATTATTTTTTACATAAACCAGCCAATATATTGCACTTTATTTTATTATAATTTTATTTTACTTACAAACAATGACCCGGGGAACACCCGGACCAAAAACTAGTTTTGACCATAAATTCCCATTAACAAGAGATGATATAGTCATGTGTAGTTTTGTTAGATTCGTCTTATAGTATATTTTATTACGGAGTAATATTACATTTTTATACTTTTTACGTGTATAGAAATGAATTGAAGTTATATTCGTTTTTAAACGCATCTTGAAAACCACAAAGTTAAATGGGGCAAAAAAATTAGGAATAGAAAAAGTAAAAGACATTATTACACCAGTTAAAACTTTAATACTTCGTATGGAGTATTTTTTTCAATATAGTACAACAGCCTTAAATTGAAAATTTGAAAATATAACTAACAATTCAATGACTCAAATTATTTCACAATTACACCTATGTTTTCGTTATATGTTCCAATAGCAACGTACAATTCTTGTTGGTGCTCCCATTAGGAGCAATAGCTTTTACAAGTAATTCTTTAAGGTTTTTGATATTTGTTCTTGATAGAATATAAAACATATTCCTGGGTCTCAACCATCAGTTTAAGCTTTTGGTTGAGTTGGTCCTTTAACATGGTAATTCATTGATCACACCAGTATCAGTAATGATTAGGAAAATTAAGTAGTGTATCAACTTGATCAGTAGTCTAGGATGAACGGGTTTCAGTCATGAAAATTCTATAATGGTCGTTTGTGTTTTAGGGGGGTGTTTGGTATGAAAATTTGTAATGTAGGAAATGTAAACAGTACAAATAAGTGCTTCCATTTCTATTAGTGTTTCCCTTATATCTAACTAGTGGAAACAAAATGTGTTTCCCTCCTGAATCATAAACTCCTCAATTTGTTTCCATTTCATAAAGATACCAAACATATATCAAAGGTAATATGTATCATTACCCTTAATATAAATCTTTTCCATTACGTTTACGGAATTTATACCAAACGCCCCCTTAATGATTATGTTGTTCATACTTGACCTTTTTTTTTCTCCAAGTAATTAGTTACATTACTTTATTTTTGCTATAAAATATTATTATTAACATTTTTTTAATTTATCAAATTTTAGTTTTATTTATGTAATTTTAATTCTTATTTAATAGTTTTTCGAAAAATATTATTTTATGTTGGATTAAAATTTTCAAAAAATGTATATGCATCGTAGATAATAATACTAATTGTGTCCAATTTATTAAAAAAAAAAAACAGATACTCCGTGTCTCATATTGTTAATAATTAAAATAAGGGTATACAACATATCTCTTAAATTTATGTATAAGCATTAAAAACACTCTTGAAAATTGTATAAAGTGAGAATTTATGACAAAAATACGCGTAGATTAATGTAATTAGTGTGTTTTTGTCATGATTTTCTAAATTTAAACAATTTCAAATACGAGAAAACTTAATTTACCCACTAGGTAGTCTACCCATGTGAGTTGGCAAACAATGTGGCATTGCTTATAATATGTGGCATGTACATGTCATTGAAAGGAATTAAAACACAATTAATGCTTTGTTGGAGGAAAGAGGATAATATTTTGGTATTTGTGGCTTTTGTTGTTTCTTCTCTCCCAATGACTGATTTTACCTCATCAAGCTACTAAAATAATGATTCAAGAGGTTGCATGGTGAATAATTGAGAATCCCTTGGCACCATTAATTTTCATTCTTAATTATATATTTTTATTATTATTTTTTTTTTTTTTTGAGAAAGATTAATTGGTAGACTTGGCCTACCCCTTTATCGTACTAGTGGAGACAACTCTGTTTTATATGGCCATGACTTAGAAAGGTATTTCTTATACGATGAACTTTGTTTCTTATGATAATATTAATTTCTATTATTAGTTGATACATAATTGAAGTATATTCAAGAATGAAGTTCTATCAATTGTTCTTCGGGTGCTTTTGGGAGGAACATTTGTTATATTAATTCTTATCAAGATACATTTGTTAATATTAATTCTTATAAAGATACATTTGTTAAGGAACAGTGCTTCGGGTTCTTCACATCTTCAAAATATTTGAATAGAGAGTATCTCCTCCGGATTTTTTAAAATAGAGGATACGAGTACAACGTATAATATATTCTTAAAATTATATCTTATGAAATTTTCAATAAAATTTGTTATGAAATATAATAGTAAAAAAATGTTAAAAAATTAATAAGTACTTGATACTCATAAGAGTATGATTGTACGAATGCATATTACGCGAAATAACCAAGCATTAAGATAAGGTATAACATCCAATAACATACGATTATAAAAAACGGTGTATACTAGTATGCTACTACTCCGTACCTTATTTAAGGAAAAAAGGGTGAACCTTCATAGCAAAGAAAACTTTATGTCATGATTGCTTATGTTATGAATATGAAAAATTGTTTATATTTCATCATACATAAAGTTGTTTCATGCATAATTATTAAAACATAGGGCATGTTCACATTAACTGAACTGAGCTGAATTGAACTTATTGGAGTTGAACTTGAGCTGATTGGAGCTGAACTGCTGAACTGAACTGAGCAAAAATGAATATTTTATGCGAGAAGGAAATACAGAGCTGAACTGAACTGAACTGAACTAAATTGATTGATTGGAGCTGAACTAAACTGAACTGAAATTAAGTAACTGTGAACAGACCCATAATTTTGTTAGATACATTAAATATACTAACATTTAGGTTTAACAGAGGGAGTACAATATAACAAAATTGAATTAGAAGGGGACGTGATGGTGAAGTTTAACAGAGGGAGTACGACAATATAACAAGCAATTAACTTAACCAAGATTTTGGGTGTGTTCTATTTTCTTTAATTTCACTTATCTGGATTTATCTGAACTTAACTGAACTTATTTGAAATGAATTTAATTGATTTCATCCGAACTTTTTTGAATTTAGGGCATGTTCACTTCAGGTTAATTTCAGTTCAGCTCCAATCAGTTCAGTTCAGTATAGTTCAATTTAACTTATATCCTAATTTCCTTTTCTCATAAACTATTCATTTCAGCTCTATTCAGTTTAGTTCATCTCCAAACAGTTGAGTTCAGCTGCATATGATCTAAATTTATCATGTTTGTTAGAATCTGAATTTGAATATTGTTACAATCGAATGTTTCTATCGAAGGTTCTTATGAATCCATGACACCTATATATGATCTGACTTTCAATGGCATCAAAATTTTAGATCATGCAAAACTCAAATTGCCAAATTGAAGCTTCTGTTAAGTTTGACTTGAGCTCGAATAATCCTAATCAAACCTAGGTCAAAGAATTTTTTTCCCTTCTCATATTTTAAAATACAAGTAGTCCTACGAATAATCTACATAGATTGAATCCTTACCCTATAAAAGCACCAACACTCAAAAAAATGGGTTGCCTTATGAACAGTGTACTGCCCAATTTGCCCCTATATTTGTACTACCATTTCCTTATCTATAGTGCTGTGACTGATTTGCCCTCGAAAAAATGCATGTGCCTTATGCCTTCCAACTCACTGGCCACGTGTAGGGGTGGGTATAACGTGTCTGAGTGTGTATGACAAGGTGGGTGATTAAAGGTTTCATCTTTGCTTGATTTCTGGACACTTACCGTAGCTAATCATTGATTCAATTTGAGCTTTGCTTGATTTCTGGACACTTACCGTTGCTAATCAATGATCCAATTCGAGCTTACTTGCGATTTGCATGAATGTAAGGCTCAATTAGAGCTTAGTTTGATTTCTGGACACTTACCGTTGTTGATCAGTGATTCAATTAGAACTTACTTGCGATTTGCATGAATGTAAGGTTAATTCCTCAATTTTAGTTATTTGTTTGCTTAGCTGATTAATTTTTGCCTATGGTTATTTCTTCGTTTAACTATTGATTAATGTACCTTTGTGGGATTTACAGCAGTTCAGCTATTGTGAAAATGGATTTGGGAGGACTAAATTGTTTGATCCTTTTTATGGTGAGCTTCTTAGTTATCCATTGATCTATTGTTTTGCATGATGTGTGAGAGGGTTTGAGAGAGATTAGGCTATTGTTTGGTTTGCTCAAGTGTTGGGAAGTACGGTTAGTGTTTTAGTTTTGAGAGGATTAATTTGCTGTTTGGCTTTTCAAATCAAAATTAAATCATTTTTATTTCTGGTTACAGCTGTTGTTCAAGTGTTGGGAGGTGGGATTAAGGTATGTAAAAAGAATACTTTGCTATTTTTTGAAATAAGCAAATTGTTAATTTTTCCTTATTGTGAACTACATTAGATTTTGTATATTTAGTTTGGGGTGTCATGATTACTTTATTTGATTTTTGCTTAGGCCTTTCACACAATTTTTGCTTTTACAGCTGTTTCTTTTATGCTGGCCGCAGCTCAGTCTTTTACCTAGTGGTTTTAAGATGGTGAACTTTATTAGCTATCGGTCTAGCACTTTCATACCAATGGGTAAATGCTTTCCTCTTCTAAGCCAATACTGATACAAGGCTCATCTAATTACCTGCTATGTATGGCTTAGTTTGTTTGCATTTGTTTGTCTTCTACTGCTTTGTGTTAGCATTTGTGTTACCATAAATTAAGGATACAAGCCAGTTCATCTGGTCTCCCTCATCTTCATTTTGCAGCAAAAACAAAAAAAAAAAAAAAAAAAAAAAAAACAACTACACACACCATAGCATAGTCCCATGGAGGAGGTTATATTAGAGGTAATCATGAAATTGGATAGAGGCTTCTTTGCTGTAGTAATGACATTACATCTCTGGAAAACTAATCTTTGATATCATTGACCATGAACACAGAACATATATGAACTTGCTTCAAGGATTTCTTCAGAATCATGACATTTTTAAACTTGACAAATTGATTACATTGTTTGGATTAACTTGGCATGGTTAAATTGGTAGCCATTATTAAAATTAATTGGCTTCTGTGCACACAATATTTCACCAGCTTGGTTGCTTAACAAACTTTGTGTGATTTATTGAACAGCAGTTAGTTTAAGTATAGTCTATATATTAGTGATGAAGTAAAGATTTAGTGCATTTGTGTTGGTAGAGGATGGCTAATTAGCCTGGCATTTTTGTGTGTGGGCTGTCTTTTTAAGTCTTCTTTGGTTTAAAGTAAGTGTGGAATCTGGAATTTGTAACATGGGCTACCTTAGGCTATGGTTTACATGTTTTTATTGTTGATGATAAATCATGCAATTGTTATTGTAAAAGGGATCAGTTTTTGGTGAAGATATTGAATATTAATTTTGCTTTTTGCTACTTCTGTTGCAGAGTTATGAGCTTGCAATGGGTGGAGGTGCAGGTTCTCCTGTAAGTACTCCATTATTTACAGTTATGTTGATTTGCTTTTTTTTTTTGGAAAGGGGGTTTGGAGAATTGCATTGCATTGCTGTTTTTGTTCAGTGTTGGTTTGGATGGTTTTAGTTAGTATGTAATGACTTTGTTGTGTTATCTATATCATGTGTTACATGCTTTGGTGGGTTTGTTTGTTTTTTTTTTGTTGCCTTTTCAAAGGGCCAGCTATATTGATTTGTTGTTTTGTGTATTATGTGTAGCTTGGCTTGGTAAGTTGCTTGCATTAGTTAGTATGTGGAGAGTGCTTTGTTGTTTTAAATGGGGTATGTTTTGCATGCTTTAGTAACCAGCTTTGTTGTTCTTTTGTGATATAATCGCATTAGCTATTTAGATGGTTTTGTTGTGTGCGCTCGATTTAGACTAGCCTCTGTCTGTGTCTTCCATTTTGTGATGTAACCAGCCTTGTTCAGGGTAATGTGTTACATGCTTTGGTAATCAGCTTTGTTGTTCTTCTGTGATGTAATTGCAAGAACTATTTAGCTTGTTTTTTTGTTTACCATGCATTTAGCCTTACCTCTGTCTGTGTCTTCCAACAACACATGTTTCACTACCTTACACCTGTAGCTCAAGTGATAAGATGTCGCTGCACCAGTGTTAGCTACAATAGCATGTTTCTTATGTTATGGTGTGCACACAGGTGGGTGGTCCTGGCACTCGAAAAGTGTCTATTTCTTTTTCCTGCCTGCTCCAGCAAGTTGTGGAGTATCTGAAAATTCCTCAGCCAGCTTACTACTTGGTTGATGCAAGGAAGAATGCTGTGAAGCTTGTCTTGGAGACTGACCCAGGCTTGGGTTTCTATGTTTATGAGGGTGGCCCAGCTAAAACAGTAGGAGAATCGCGTGAAATAGCTGCTGAAAAAGGCGTTCGTTCACTTAGGATGGAGTACAACATTCAGGTTGAGGACTTGACTTCTAAGAAAATTAAGAAGCTCCAACGCTGTGAATTTCTCTACCAGATGAAACGCATTAAGCTCGAGTCAATGGAAAGGGAGGCAGGGAAGGTGCCAGTCAAGTGGCCAGATGTGCCAAACCACAAGCGCTGCAAGAAATATGTGTGCATTGATTACATGGATGTTCTGCGCACTCTAACTGTGGAGACTAAAGCACGTGTTTCGGCTGTGAACACTTTCAAGCTAGGACCAGAAAAGTTTATTTCATGGCTTACGATTTATGCTCCTACAATTGCTACTGGAATGGAATGCGTTTTTAGTGCTGCTCGTGCTGACTGCAAGGCTACCAAACAAGAGGCTGCTAGGAGGGCTGTAGATTTCCTGCGCACTGCATACAATCTTGACATAGTTGATTTGAACTATGGCAATGGGGTTTATGCTGGTATTAAGTGTTCCTTGGCTAGGGAAAGTTACTTAGTGGCTAAAGAACGTGTATTGGGGATTCAAGGTGCTCTGCACTTAGCTCCTTTTTTAGGTGAAGATGGCTGCATAACACCTAAGTCTGCTGTGCACAAGATTCCAACACCTGCTCTTCCTCCACCTCCACCTCGCAAGCCAAAAGCTAGGCCATCTTTTAGTGACCGCTTCACTCATGAGCCATTTGCAGTGCCTCCTGAGTTGGACACCTTGTTTAAGCGGAGGAAGTTTGATTAGGGATCAGAGTGAAGCTACATAAGACCTTGTTTTGCTGGCTTACATGTTTTGTTTGTGTGTTCCTATAGGGCCTTAGATATGGCATATTAGCTTAGTGTGCTGCTTGTATTCCAGCTTATTTTGTACTGCTTTATGTGTTAGTTTTATTGGCAAGACATGGTGGATGTTTTCCCAAAATATAATGTACTCCAGCCTTTTGAGCTTTGATTAATGAAGTCTAATTTTCTTGCCATTGATCGTATTTTATGAAAATTCTTATTCTATTGTTAAGTATGCACAACATGGTTAAGCATTACATTTTAGCAATTTGATCAGAGTGCAATTTTCCCTTGACAGGTTATATAGCTGCAGATGCATTGTAACACTGTTCCATTTATCGAAAGCCTCTGCAACGCCTATTTGCAACTTCTTGCTGTCACTAGCTCAGTTTATATTCCCACTATGCGTACATCCGAGTTCCTTTGCTTGTTTTATTTGTCTTTCATGCTATTCAAAGCAGCTTATAGATTATCTATTACTATTAAGCTGCAATCATTGTATTTTGTTTTTTTTAAATGAGAATGCTTTGTTGGTATCCAGATCGTGCTTTGGTTAAAAAAAAAACCCTTGCAAAAAACTCGGGTTATCAAACGTTTACAGATGATACAAGCTATGTCTCAGACCCCTGATCCTATGAGGTGTTAGCTTGTTTTTCTTATCGCATGCTAAATAAATATTTTTGTTACTCTGAATTTTTAGGTTTTTGCTTGTTTTTAACAAGATTTTTCTATTGTTCAATATAGGGAGTTGGATGAAACAAGTTCTGCCACACATCAGCAGGAAGAAGCTGGACAGATTGAGCCTGAAGTTGCTTATGTAGGGCATTCTACCAACATAGTGGCTGGAAATTCAGCTGCCCAGTTTAATAGTAAGCACAGTTGTTTATGTTTGCTATTTGCAATATTTGGAGAATTAACTGAGTGAGGTTAGGGACTGAGCTAGGTAAAACAACTACGCAGGCTGCCTGTGTTTGGATAGCATTAAGGTAAGGTTCATTGTAGCTGAGATTATTTAGCTTTGCATTTGAATGGCAAATTTTTCGTTTACAGGCCCACAACTTTTGGCTACTGATTCAACTGTAGCTAACATAGCACAGGCTGTGAGGACGGATATTAGCAGCGCTCCCTCAGACTGGTTCATGTTGTATAGGCAACTTCTTGAGAATTCAAGGTCTAGCAAACGTAAGCGAGCACTAGCAGCTACGGAACAAGAGCCTGTGTCAGTAAGGTGCTTTACTTTTGCTTACCACAAGAACACATGCCTTGCTATATTTCTGTGTTTCTACTGATATTGGTGTTATGCTTTTTTTTCGTTTGCTATACAGAGAAATAGGTGAAACAAGTGCCCAGGGAACAAAACAAACACAGGCAAAAAACAACAGTAAGGCTTCCTTAAATCAAACTTTGTTCTTTAAAGCTTCTTTGCCCATTTGAAAATAGGTTAAAGGCCAGGTATATTTGTTACTAAAATAGTCAGCTCATTGCATAAAAAAAACTTGCTCAATTATATGAGACAGATTAAGTGAATATTATGTGATGCCTGATTACATTAGACCAACTTAACCACTAAATGTTTAGTGTTCCTATAACTTAACATGTAATTTTCATATCACAGAGAAAAATACTGCAGCTTCTAAAAAAAAAGGAGTCAAGCAAGCCACGGTTAAAAAGCCCAGTAAGTTTTCCTATGCATATTTTTACTAAGTTATTTGCTTATTTTTTTTAATGTACTATGCTGATAGATTGGCTTGGCATGCTTGGTTGAATATCAAAACCTCCAGCAGCTGTTGTTGGCTTAAAATTGCCTGCAGCACCTTTGAAACTGAAATCCCCTTCCATTTGCCCACATTGCAGTGCAAAAAAATTTAAACATGAATCACTTCATTTCTGCTGTGGAAATGGATCTGTTAAACTAGCCACTAATGAATACCCCCCTGCACTATATAGACTTTTAACATCTGATGAGGAAGATGCATCACACTTCAGACAATACATTCGATTATATAACAACTTATTTGCATTTAGCTCATTAGGTGGTAGATATGATGGCAGCATACACAAAGGAATATATGTTTTTAAATTGCATGGACAAATTTATCATAACTTGCCTGATTTAATCCCTGATGAACTAGGCCCTAGATATTTACAGCTCTATTTTTATGATGGCCAATTTGAGTCAGCTGCTAGAGTAGATTGCTTTAAACAAGTAAGGCAAGATATTATAGACATACTTATGGAAGTATCTGCTCAAAATCCTTATGCTCGCTTTTTCAGATCATTAAAAGACCTTGACATTCAAGAAGATACACAAATTACTATCAATAAAAACACCGTTTTAGACCAGCGGGTTTATAATGCACCCACAACAGATGAAGTGGCTGCGATTTGGCCTGAAAACAGTTCATCAAGCGAGTCCAATGGCCCATACATCACAGTCAGAGGAAAGTCAACAGATTCTCATCGCATATACCATAATTATGGATGCTATGATCCCTTGCAGTATCCACTCCTATTCCCGCATGGTGATTGTGGTTGGGGTCAGGGTCTTGCCAAAGACAGCGGTTCAGGAGAGCAGCAAACAGACCCCATTACATCTTCAGCAGTGCATACAGAGGAAGATTCCCTTGCACAGGAAGCTAACCGTGAGTTTCATCTGCCTGAAGTTTTATTGCAGAGTGTCCTTTTCATTTTATGTTGCTGTTCACACAAATCATGCTTCTTTAAATGCAGGTTTAGCGGACGCAGGTGGTGCTTCAACTCGGCATATTTCAGCCCGTGAGTACTATGCTTACAAATTGCAATGCCGCCCAAACAATATGCTCCTGCGTGCAGGCCGATGTTTGCAGCAATATATAGTTGACATGTATGTGAAGATTGAGAACACACGCCTAGACTACTTTCGCCACAATCAGCAAACAATCAGAGCTGATTTGTATCAGGGGATTTTGGATTCCATTGAAAGTGGTGAAACAAATTCCATAAATGTCGGACGGCGAGTTATTTTACCCCCAACCTTTATTGGTGGTCCGCGAGACATGAAGCGGCGATACCTGAATGCCATGGCTTTGGTTCAACGCTTTGGCAAGCCTGATTTGTTTCTCACAATCACTTGTAATGCAAACTGGCCAGAGATCAAAGCAGAACTAGCTCCTGGAGAAACAGCTCAGAACCGCCCAGAACTTTTTGCCCGTATATTTCGATCAAAATTAATCTGTTTAAAAAAACAAATCATGAAGAAACAAATTTTTGGGAAAGTGGCTGCTATGATATATGTCATTGAATTTCAAAAAAGAGGTCTTCCACATGCACATTTCCTTATTATCCTGAAGCCTGATTACAAATTGAAAACACCTTCTGATTTTGATCATTTTGTATCTGCTGAGCTACCACCCCACAGCTCCCCAGATCTACGGAAAATAATAGTGCGCCATATGATGCATGGCCCCTGTGGAGAAGCAAACCCTAAATGTGCATGTATGGTTGCCAAAAATGATAACTCTGCCTCATGCAAATATGGCTACCCAAAACAATTCTTAGAAGAAACAACAAACCATAATGATGGATATCCAGTGTACAAGAGACAGCATACAGGAGAAAGTGTACGAATTCGAGGTTCAAACCTTGATAATCGCTGGGTTATTCCATACAACCCATACCTTTCCGCGTTATTTGACTGTCACCTCAATGTAGAAGTTTGCTCATCTATTCAGGCTGTTAAGTACTTATACAAATATGTTTACAAAGGGCATGACAAAGTATCTTTTAATGTTGTTGGTGAAGAAAATCAAGCCGTAGATGAAATTCAAAGGTTTCAGTCTGGTCGATGGGTTTCACCATGTGAGGCAGCTTGGAGGATTTTTGGCTTTGACTTATTTGAGATGCACCCCCCTGTGCAGCACCTTGCAGTGCATTTGGAAAACATGCAAACAGTTCAGTTAAGGAGTCATGAGCAGCTTGATTCTGTGGTGTTGAATGAACGAAGATCCAGAACTCAACTAACAGAATTCTTTAAAGCAAATGCAGCCTCACCTCGAGGTACAGGATATCTCTATAGCGAATTCATTGAACATTTCAGGTGGGATGCCACTGCAAAGGCATGGTTTCAGAGACAAAACAAGAAACTGGTCATAGGTCGGCTGGCATGTGTTACACCTGCAGAAGGAGAACGTTTCTTTTTGCGGCTGCTTCTTGGCAATGTACGCAGTCCTAAATCGTTTTCTGACCTCCGGACTGTGAATGGAGTGCTATGTGCCACTTTTCATGAAGCAGCTATTAAAAGAGGGCTCTTTGAAGAAGACAATGTTGTTTATTCCTGTTTGTCTGAAGCTGCAGAAATTCAAATGCCAGGAGCCTTACGTCGGCTATTTGCAGCTGTGTTGGTCTTCTGCGCTCCGAGCAACCCACGTACACTATGGCAGCACTTCTATAATGATTTATCTGATGACTTTAGGTATACCTTTCCACAAAATGAAAGGCAAGTTTTGCTGCTGACAGTACAGTCAGTTGAGAAGCACTTAGAGTCAATGGGAAAGTCATTGGCTCATTTTCAGCTGGAACATCTACAAGAAGAAATGCCAGAAGAACTACAGAGGACAAAGGATATTATTGATGCTTTGGATGCACCTATTCCTCAAGAATCAATTGATTGTAGTGATCAACTAAATTCAGCTCAGCAAATTGCCTTTGACAAAATTATTTCTCATGTTCAAGCAGAAAATCCTGGTTGTTTCTTTGTTGAGGAGGGACTGGAAAGACCTTTCTGTACAATGATCTATATGCAGAAGTGCGCTTGGCAGGAAAAATTGTGCTTCCGACGGCAACATCAGGAATAGCTGCAGCAAATATACCTTCTGGCAGGACAGCACACTCACGATTTAAAATTCCACTTGATTCAGAAACATCGCTCGCTTGTGATGTTCCTAAACAAGGCAGCTTGGCTGCTTTGATTAAAGAGACAACATTGATTAGCTGGGATGAAGCTTCAATGGCAAGAAAGGAGAACATTGAATCTGTTGAGCTCCTGCTCCGTGATCTCTGTGATCCAGATCAGCCATTTGGTGGAAAAGTTATAGTCTTCGGTGGAGATTTCAGGCAGGTTTTACCAGTTGTTCCTCACAAGACTCAAAGAGAAGTTGTTGCAACAAGCCTGGTTACTTCACATATTTGGCCCTGGTTACAAAAGCTACATCTGACTGAAAACATTAGAGCTAAAGCAGATCCCCCATATGCATCTTTTTTGCTGGGTTTGGGAAATGGCGAGCTTCAGGCAACTGAGAATGCTTTTGTGAAGGTTCCTCCTCACATTGTGAATTATTATCAATAAACCGAGGAACCTATTGATTATCTAGCTGTTGCTGCTTTCCCTGAATTGCAACATCCTGCCTTTACACCAGATATTTTCACAGAAAGGGCAATCCTAACCCCATTAAATGATGCAGTAGACTCAATCAACAATTTCCTGATTGACAAGTTCCCAGGAGAAGCAGTTGTTTATAAAAGTTTTGATAGCATCCTAGATGATAATTGTGTTATCTACCCAACAGAATTCTTGAACCAGCTTGCCCCAGGTGGTATGACACCACACGGGTTGGTTCTAAAAGTTAACAGTCCAGTAATCTTGCTGAGGAATATTGATCCGGCTGATGGCCTATGCAATGGCACACGTCTCATATGCAAGTATTTCAGAAGAAATGTTATTGTTTGTTCAATAGCAATTGGTCATCGTAAAGGAGAGCTTGTATTCATCCATCGTGTCAACCTCCGGCCTCCATCATCAGCAAAATATCCGATTCAATTTGAGCATATACAATTTCCTCTGAAGCTCAGTTTTGCAATGACTATCAACAAATCTCAAGGGAAAACACTAAGCCAAGTCATGGTTTATCTCCCACAGCCATGCTTTTCACATGGTCAATTGTATGTTGCATTGTCAAGGGCTAAGAAATCGGAGAAAGTGACTGTGATCACACCCAGCCTGCTGAAATTCACAATACACCAGTTCTGAAAAAACATCGTGGCTTATGATTTCTTGCGACTATCTGGCATAACATGATACAATATGATGCAGGTATTCTAAGATTGCTTCTATACTTATTCATAAAAACAAACAGCTTTTTCTTTTTGTTAATTTCATTTCACTATCCTATTATGCAGGTTTGATGTTGTAGATCTTTGGAGTATAATTTTGGTATATAAAGCTTTTTTTGTAATATTTATTTTACAATCATTATTGATATATAAATATGCAACATTGAAATGCCTTGCAGTGTGTTAGAAACACTATTGCTCTGTTAGTTTACATGCTCCTATTCAAATTGCAGCAACACTATTTGGACAGGTTTACTTCACATGTACATTTCTATTTTCTGTTGCAGTTATTGTTTCACAATTATGCTTTGACCAAGCAAAAAAATGATATTCAATGCACATCTATTATATAATGCTCATTAGGTGCCAAAAAAGACATTATCAAGAATAAAAAAATAATTTGGATATAGTTGTTACCTAACTAGATGTTGAACTGATGTAGTAAATAATGAGCTAAAATTTTCTATGAGATTACAAATAGAGGGGAAAAAAAAAACAACAGGATCAAATACTGTCTTATATTAATTTTTTACAGTATGCCTAGGATAGCTACCACAATCTCATTTGTTGAAAAACCCTTTTTTTTTTCCTTATTACATTGTTATATATAGTGCCCCTACATTCTATTACCCTCAAGACAGTAAAGAAACATAGCTTCAACTTCGCAGAATAACCTTATTAACTGCTGGACAATACATTGATTCAAGTCATGAACACTTTTAGTGCAGCCCTTTCTTAGTCTTTCAAACAGGTCACACTCAAGCTTAAAAAAAATGCTTTTTCCCTAGATAACTATAATTATAGCAACACTTCTTTTTCTGCTGCACCCATCAAGCATCACAATAACAACAGATAATACTTAAATCCTAGGTTTTTATGTGGCCCACAATGATGATTTCCAAAAAGAAACTTCTCCTATTTTAAATTCACATAACATCTTTCTTTTTATAGCTAAATTAGATCAGTAACTGATTACTCTATTATCTACTTGCACATGTAACCTTAGTTTATTTCACTACAAACAACTTATTAACCACTAGACACAACTATGTTTCAGTGCCTATACTTTTATTACTTATAATATCTTTTCAGATTTTACTTGTATAATTATTACTCTGCAGATTTCCTTGGGAGAGATTACTCACTACATCTTTTTATTCGATGGACAATAAGCTGTATCAGGACATTCTAATAACCACTAAATTATAAAGGCCATTCAGCTTTAACTTGTCAATAAGCTATTTGCTATTTAAGATTCTTATACTTCTAGAGAGCATTTACTCTCCTTCTATTCTCTGCTGCTTTGCTCTGCTGTTCCCGTGTACCACCAAATTCTGCCTGCCATTCCAGTTGAAGAAGGTAAGCACTTTAATGATGCTTTGCTGAACTTAACATCTACCTGTGCATTAACTTCTTTTCTTCTCATTTATTTACTTGCATGCAATTAAGTTATCTGAATTGCTTTTCATGTGGCCTTAAGTTAATCTGGATTACATCTGCACACATGTTTTTATTAGCTATTTATTTTTTCTTGCTTTGCATTCAGCCAACCTATGTAGCTATTTTATATGCAGTTCTTTACATAGAAAAATCTCATCCTTTAAAACTTACTATCATCTTGCCAGTAGTTAAGCCACATGTACACACTTATTTTGTATTATGCCCTTATATTGTTGCCTATATAGAAGATTCTTATCTTTTTAAGCTTATTATCATCTTACCAATTACTAAGCCACATGTACAGCAGTTATTTTGACTTATGCCCTTATATTTGTTACCCATGAGTTGAAAGGACCATGTTCAGTATAATATATATCAGAAAAGCCATGTCTTTAAGAAAGTTGGTACATGGACATAAAACTATAAAGGGACTTTGGTAGAATCTGTGGTTGACCTACTGTTATTGACTATATTAGTAAGAAATACATCTAAAATTTTTAAAAAAACTTACTCTTGACTAAGGGCTGCTGAGAAAGTTGCTTAAAGAAATAACATCAGATAATTGTATGACAAGCTGTATATTATGATATAAATCAGCTCAAACTGCCTATACTATGAACAAAAAGTAACCATATTAAAGAAATTCAAGCTTTCATTTAAACCACACAAGGCCACTTAGAACATTCCACAACCATACACTGAGCACAACTTACTAATTAACAACATAGTACACATAACTAGAAGTAAAATATTGTTTATTACTAGAGCAACAACATAAGCCTCTGACTACTTAGAAACACAACTACATTTAAGTTACAAATGCCTTGCTGCAGCTTCAGATACCCTTTAAAAACAACCACCATAGGAAGCATCACTTCCAGGAGAATATGAAGGGCTGGAGTGGTGATGAATGTCACTCAAGTTAAGCGTAGGCTGAGGCTTGTAATTACTGGTCCCCTCTTTTGGTGCCTGTTTCTTTGGGCTAGGCTGCTTTTCTTCAGGCTCAAAGCAGAGAGCAGTATCACAGCCTCTAAATCTTCCACCTTTTTCTCTAAAGTAGTGAGCCGTGCCTCCATTGCTTCATAGTTAGTCTGTTTAGGAAGCTCATATCCACTACTAGGATTCACCTTATCTTTCCCCTTACTTGCCATTACTTTCACCTGGAATTGAATAAAAAAAGACTGGAGAAATGTGAATGTGGAATACAAAAATGGTTTGTGAAAATATTGAAGCCTGAACTTCCTTTTATATATGCCTGGGTAACACCTCTTTGTCTAAAGGATATAACCATGCAATAATTATACCTATTTAGAAAGTCATACAAAACCTGCTATGTGCTTAGAATTGCATAGCACTGAACTTAATTTATAGTTACAAGTCATTAAAGATTCCTTTTTATATTTTTAGTCACTTCATTGAAGATTCCTTTTTATATTGAATTATAAATGCATGTACACCATATAATACTATAGTTATGCATAGACTTATGCCAAAGTTGCTTATAATATCATAAAATAATAATATTATGCTTTTCTGTTTATATAATACTATAATATTATACAGGTCCGTTACATGCATAGACTTATGCCAAATTTGTTGTAATCTAATTTAAGCACAAATGACTAAACTAATTGTCTTTGTATACTATGGATGAAACCCGAGTACACGCCTTTGAACAAGCTGTCACCTGTAAGCAAGGCATACAAAGTACGTGTGACAGTGAAAGAAAAGTCTCCTATCCAAACTCCTCCAAACAAGAAAAAATTTCAGAAGTTGGTTTTTGAAGATGAAGAGGTGCAGCCTTACCACTCTTCATCATTTCATAGTTATTAAATGCTTACAAATCCTATACATGACTTTTACATTTCCATGATACAGGGTAACAACATGAAAGCTACTTTGTTCGGAGCTGAATGCGACCACTTCCAAAAAGTCTTTGAACACAAGAAGAAGTATGAGATAGCTAATGCTCCAGTGCGAAAAATCAACCCGAAATTTAGTTCATTCCCAGGAGAATGTGAACTAACTTTCGGCGGAATGACTAAAATTCAACCTATTGATCGAACAGAGGGACCTGTTTTACCTGAATACATCTCCATAGCTGATGTACCAAAGACAAGTGAACCATCAGACTGGTTTGGTATCATTTAAACCTTATCTAACCTACACATAATAATTAAAAACACATCTGCCTCTTGACAATAATGTGCCTATCCATTACTTAATTGACAGATTTGCTTGGAATAGTAGTCCACATGGAAGACCCCCGACAAGTAGAATACAAGTCAGGCAGAGTAGCCGATGTACGTGATATCAGCATAGTCGATGAAAGGTTGCTACTACCCTTTTAAGGCCCCCAAATGCTGCCTGCATTATTATCAAAACCTGCATTCACTGACTTACATTTTGTTTTGCAGCACTGGTTCTCGCCCAATGATCATCTCTGCATGGGGACAATTGGCCCTTTCTGACTGTGAGAAGCTCAAAGACTGGGCAACCACTTTCTTAGTTGTTAGCTTAACTTCAGTGAAGCCTGCTACCCACAAAGGTATAATTTCCTCACCCTTTATCATTGTATACATCATGTAAAAATCAAGTATGCTTATGCAACTTTTCACAGGTTTCTCATTGCAATCAAGCGTGTCCACAACAATTGACCCAGCCCCCAGTGGTGAAAAAGCTGACGCTTTACGAGCTTGGTAATCCAACAGCTTTTTATAGCTAAAAACCATTTACACCAATACACATTCACACTTTATTGTACCTAATTCAAGCTTAGTATAAACTCCTATGCTTAATCAGCTATGTCTTTCTTTGTGTATATTGCTAGGGCCCATGCACATCCAGACATAATTAGTGATTACATGTCAAGGCAACTCGAATTCATGATTATTGGTGCTGAACCGGTTCCAACCACACTTGACAACATCAATGGCAAAACTGTGAGTGCACTCATACACAAATCCTTTTACTAGCTACCTGGTTTTGTATACTAACACAGCTTCATTCAGGTTGACAATACTGTCCAGGAAGAAATATACACACTAACAGTCACAATTCCAGATGCACAGCTAGACAATGTTATTGCTTATATTGGCTGCGATAATTGTGGAAAGCGTTGTGGCGTTGCTGCAAATGTGGCCTTCTTTTGCCCACATTGCCCTGACAAAAAATGCACCTCCACTGAAAGGTTCATTCTGCATTCTTATGTTGCACAGCCAACTAACCAAGTCGTAATGTCACTTACCATGATTTCATACCACAAATGCAGGGTCAACTTTACCTTTGATGCTGCAGATGACACTGGAACATGTCGCCTCACTGCCTTTGGCCAAGTATGCGAGCAGATATTCAAGCTCAAAACACTTGAAATTTTTGAAAGAAAGATAAAGGTTCTCACCCACACTTATCATAACCCTACATAAAATTATACCATGCAGCTAGCTATCCTGGGTATAACAACACTGGTTTTTGATCTCAGGATGACTGGAAAGACTTTGATCATGTTGCTGCAGCTCTGAAATCCACACTAATGCACATAATCCTTTACCCATCCCAAGCACTGAACAGGGCAGGGGTGCTGCGGTGGGTAGTCCAATCAGTTTCTCATTCTTCTTGAACACTTGTCCTGCCAATTTGCAGCTTCAAATCAGAACACATCATCCACGATAGCTCCGGATTATCATTTTGGATGTGTTCTTATTTGAGGCATCCTTGATTATCCTTACTCATATTTGCTACTCAAGCAATTTAACAAGCATTGTCTTTCTAACTCTGAAGTTATATCTTCTTTTGATAATGTTGGTCATATAGAGCAGCTTAAATCTGCTTAGAATTAGGCTTACAAACAATGCCTCTTTTGCTTGCTCAATCCATTGAATGGATTAAACAATTGCCTGTAGTTCAAACTTAATGCCTCTTTCATGGAACACTTTGTTCTTTAAATTATTGCAGGGATGCAATATCTGCTTATGGTTCAGCCTTGCTTATTGTGTGAATTTTGCTGGTTTCTTTATCACAAAAATGATTATTATGATTATCATTTAAATTGCTTTATTTGTGCATGTATTAGACACCTATACTCAATGAGTCAGCCATTTAGATCATTAAATCACTAAGTGCATCAATGTCCAGCTCATCTGTGCATATTAGGAACAAGGTAACAACTACTGCTTCCAGAATCTATGTATCTCCTACCCTGTAAACCATATTAACTAAACGATCCCCTAGATAATTGCATACTTAGCTTGTATATTTATAAAAATTACATATCACACTTTGCATCTCATTTGTTCAACACACCTGTTGCTTCTTTTGACTAATTGTTAATGCCACATTCTGTATATTCTTTAACTTTAGTTGCTCAGGTCACTTCATCAAGCTCAACATCTGTCTATTTTTCTTATTCATACTTAAAGAAACCATGTCACTTGCTTTCATCAAGCATGCAGAAGCTCTATACATATGTAAATAAGACAGTAATCACACTCATTGATAATAACTGAATAGGTAACCAATTTGATTTCACTACAATCTGAAAATACAGTAGCCAACAATTAAAAGCAATACATTTATGTAAAATTAAGCAACATGCATCATCATAAAATATCCTTCCACCATTCATAATTACTACTTATTTACAGAAAAAAAAAACCATGTCAGTTGCCTAGAATTGCTTTATACATCACTCAATAAAACCCCTAATAGAACTATCAGATCTTAGCAAAGTTGGTCGCGGTTTGTTGATTGCCAGCTTCCTGCCCCTCATTCTGCACCCCAGCCTCAGCATTCCCTTCCTATGTATTCTCTTCCTCACCTCCACCTTGATTCACCTCCTCCATCTCTGCATCACCACCAGCAAGTCTTCCTCCAACCCCACCAACATCCCTTTCATTACCACCTCCAGCATTCCCACCCACACCGCTAGCCCTGTCTTCTTCAACATCAGCAGGTTCTACATACCCAACATAACGCCCAATTCCTCCCATCCTTGCATATAACCTTCTACGCCCTTCACTTAATCTCCAAAAAAACCCAGACATTCGTTGAACACGAACCCTCTGAACCTCATCAGACAGAATTCTTGCTTCTTCAAGCTTACTTCTATACGCTACCCTTAAACTTGCCGATTCTTCTCTCTTAACCCTTTCCTGTTCTGCAATTGCCTCCATTTCTGCGTACAACACATCAAGGTGCGCTTCAGCGTCCCGCAACTCCATGCCGTCTACCATTTTTGCTTAGCCAAAGTTTGATAATAAAAAGTATAAGTTTTTTTAGATTGCAATTGTAACTGAAAATGTAATAGATAGCGAATTAATTTGCTAATCCCCTACAACCAGTGATCAAGATTTCAGAGAGAAAGAAGAATAAAAAAGAAAGGGGGAGATGAAAAACTGATGCAAAAACCAAATCAATTTAAAACCAATTTTTTTTAAAAAAACATATCACAAAAAATACTATTTACTTTTAAAAATAGCTTTAAGAATTTCCTCAAAAAAAAAAAAAAAAAAAAAACAAAATATAATACCTTTAAGAAAAAAGGTGCATGCCCTTTTGATTTCCAATTTTTATCATAATTTTACAATACCTTTTAAAGAAGCATATTATTATATATTCAACATTTTCACACTAATAAATAATATTGTTTAATTTTTTTTAAATTTTTTTTTAAAAAAAACAATTCCAATAATGCTTAGATTTAAGTTCAATGTACTTTGCAATGTTGATTAACTTAAATTTTGCCCACAAAATGAAAACTAAAAAATCTCTTAAATTGTGGTTAACAAAAAAACCAAAAAACCTATTTACCTTTTACTTCTTACCCAACCAAATGAAAACCCATGTTTTTTAAAAACATACTTCTTAACCAAACAAAACAAAAAAAAAAAAAAACCAACTTATCGACTTTACCGCAATCATATTGTAAGTCAATAAAAAGCCCAAATTACAGCTGAAGCCCAATTAGTATGAAATATGTTACAAAACTACAAATTTTTACAAATAATAAAACCCGCGGTAAAATGGTTGATCGATTACAAACAATTTAACAAAGGTAATTAGGACAATTGGCTTAGCAAGATGACAACCCTAGCAAGATTCACTTTTTAAAAACTTGTTTTCTTCCCATAGTGAAAATGAACACACTTTACGACTTCTTATGTTCTTTTTCACCCAACGCGTTGTGACTTTTGCATTATTCATCCCTCCTCCTTTGACAATCTTTGAAAATATTATTTTAGACAAAATATATCCATGTACACCTTTTTTAAAATATCTCACTAAGCAATTTCATAGTATGTTACTTTTACAAGTTTAAGCTTATAAAGAATTTTAGCTTAAATGTAGGTTTTTAATAAACAGTTATTATGGATTAAATGAATATTAGCAAAAAATTACATCATATTTTAACATCATTTGTTTTACAATAAAAGGTTTTACCAATGTTTACTTACATTGACCATTACTAATACCGAACCATTTGTCAAATAAAAATGCGCTTTTACAGTTTTTTGTGAGACGGGTCTTAAAATTAATAAAATTACACAGTTATTTTACCTTTAGAACTTTCCTATATTCCCAAATCGCATATGACATAGTAAAAATGAACGTACTTTACGACTTCTTATGTTCTTTTTCACTTAACGCGTTGTGACTTTCGCATTATTCATTCCACCTCCTTTGACAATCTTTAAAAATAATATTTTAAACAAAATACATCCATGTACGCCTTTTTAGAAATATCTCATTAGCCAATTTCGTAGTATGTTACTTTTACAAGTTTCAGATTATAGAGAATTTTAGCTTAACTATAGGGTTTTTTAACAAGCAATTATTATGGATTAAATGAATATTAGTAAAAAATTACATCGTATTTTAACAACGTCTGTTTTACAATAAAAGGTTTTACAAATGTTTAATTACACTCACCGTTCCTAATTTCTAACCATTTGTCAAATAAAAATGCAAATTTTCAATTTATGTGAGACGGATGTTAAAATTAATAGCTCAGCATACTTATACAATTCAAATCCCGATTTACACGTGTTAATAAATGTTGTGCATATAAGGAAATTTATAAAACGACTATTTTCAGCTTTAAGATTGTTTTAGAGCAAGTACACTAAAGTTGTACTATGTAAATCTATATTCTTTTACATGTTGGAATTATTGTAGAAACTGCTATTTGATTGGTCAATTGAAATGTTTGGGCTGCGTGGTCCATATATTCTGCTCTGCTTCTCTTGTCTGCTTACATCTTCTTTTCCTCTTTCCTTTTTCTGCAACAATCCTCTTTCTCTATCTCTGCAACAATGGCCAGCACTGACAGCACAGCTACTTCTGGGAAGGTCTTTGCACCGCCGACATGGAGACCTAATGAGTCAAGATCAAAAACAGAGAATGTCGCAAGCTTTCGTGCATATGTGTCGGAGATGACGGAGAAGATGAACAGTCATCAACAATTTCTAGAACAAGGAATTTCAAAAGTAGGGAAAAAAGAAAACGAAAAAGGTGAATCAAGCAAGAAAAGGAAAAGAGAAATTGAGAAAAATGGTTGTGGAGATTGGCCTGTCATAATTGTTGAATCAGAGAGTAATGACATAGAAAGGCATCCAAATGACGGAGGTGAAGCACAAGGGCATGAGGAGGATGCTCAAGAAAAAAAAGGCACTGAAGAAGATGGAAGGGTAAAAAAAAGCGAGTCAGAAGAGGAAGCTGAAGATACTGAAGAAGAAGAGAAGACCGAGGAAAGTGAGACCGATACAAATTCTGAAAGTGATGTGAATTCTGAGTCTGAAACTCAGAGTGAAGAAAAAGCTGCTATAGAATCTGATGATCCATTGGAGTTAGAGAGCAATTAATATGATACTGATGATGATGATGATGATACTGGAGCAGATTCTGGGAATTATCAGCAAGCAAATCAAGAAACAAGTGAAGACTCTTCAATGTTTGCTATGAAAATTCCTGATTAAAAATTGTCTCAGAGAATTAGACACCATTGTTGTTTTTTGTTTGTTAATGGTGTGGTGTTTTTTGGACAAATTTTAGAAGTGGTAGCAGATTTAAACTTTGTTAGGAGTTTTTTTTGTGGGTGATAGTTTATGGTTATTCTATTAATGGTTAGTGTTAGTAAATGTACTAATTAAGCATGTACCTAGGGTCCTGACAAATGTGTAAGCAAAATTATCTAATCAATATGAAAGCATGGTATATTTGCAAAATTTCAGACTGCCATAATAGAATATAATATACAAATCGTAGATGGAATACACAATCAAGAGTTACCAGTCAATGGAATTCAGCAGTGTAATGCAAAGCCAATGGAGAAAGCATATTTGATCATATTTAACCAAACTATCAACAAGTAGAAAGGCATATTTGATCCCATTAGGAAACACACAAACTTTATTACCTTGAAATTGAAAATACTCTATTACCTTGAAACTACAAATGGAATATATTTTTGAGACATCATAACATAGTGATAGAGAACTCTCTATTGGGAAGTAGGTAGTTATATACTTAAGCATATAATCTTCCTATTTATACATACCCTGTCATGTACCTCAGAATTTTCTCCTCTCAAAACTGGATCTTGCGAAAGCCATTAATAAGCTTCTCAGTTCGATTGCCCAAGGGTAATTTGAAGGCACGTCTTCTGATCCAAACCTTTCAATCCCTATATTCAATTTTCCATCTCCTGCGGGATCTTGGTTATTCATGTCTGGTATCTTCTTTCCAATTTGTACAATGCTTCCCATAGAATCTCAAGCTGAACCTTGAATGGCAGTCATACTACTTTGCAAGGATGCAGGGAGTAGACCTTGCCCAATTGATAAATCAGGAGCTACTCCATATTTCATCATCATTTTTCTCACTACCTAATTGTGCTTCTTACCAACAGGATCTCAGTAGCTTGATGTGTTTAGGCAACCCTTGTGAAGCTGAACTACGCCTAAAAGAAGAATTTACTGGTCTGGTGCATAAATGCTCTCTTTCCGACTAGACTGGCTTAGTGTTAGGCCATAATTGTTTTCATGAAAACCTAATGTAGTCCAAGAACTCATACACAGTTCTTCCTGCTAGATTTTCCCTCTCTAATAGTTTGATTCTTGGATGTCTTTGGTCTATTAATCTCGATACTTAAAACATGCAGCTATGAACCCATGTCCTATCTTCTCGGCTCAGAGTATTTTCGCCATGCCTATGGTCCAATTTATGCACTTTCAGCCAAAGTTGTCAGAAGTTTGGTTGCCTTGAGAAACTTTAATTTGACCAAAAATTTAATTTCACTGCACATCACTTGTTGTTATTTCAACTGATTTTCTCCATGCCTATGGTCCAATTATTTAGCAATTTTGATGCAGAAGCAACATATCAGTCAAATAGGTTACTAATGCATATAAGCAAAAGAAAAACTTTTTGCTAAATAATCAAAAAAGAGAAGTTGATCAAGCCAAGCAAAGCAGCTGCAAAGAAACCATCAAGTCTATTTTGGACAAAAAGTATGGCCATCAAACTACTGCTGATGCCGGACACTATGTAAATAATCCCAAACCTTGCAACAGACAAGATACCAAGAACAAGACCAAGAGCATGAACATATCTAACTTACAAAACATTTAGGGAACACTAAATAGGAAAAAAAAGATTTTACATAATCCAGCCAGTGTTTCCTATTTTCAGGCTGAATCAAAGCCAACCCACAAACCTTTGCCTAACATATAACACCCAATATTGCATTGTTCAATAACACCTAGACACAAACAAGTAATCACAGTCACTCACACTAAATAACAAAAACTAAATAGCAAAAATGAGGAACAAAAAAATTAAAAATTCAAAGATTAGCAACCAAAAGCATACATTCTAATATTAACAAATATTCAGCCAAAATACTTATGATCCACCACGATCATAAAATCAAACATGCTAGAATACTTAATCAAAATTAAAAACAAGTAACATTGTCTTTACAGATTTTAAAACCCCTACATTCATATCAACCTAGCCAAAGTACTTTTAAAAATAACTAAAAATGCTTAATCGGAATCAAAACCGTAATATCCATCATCGCTTCCAGAAATGTCAGTAGAGTCCGATGAATTGCCCTGCTCCTCAGCTTCTCCCTCTTCATCTTCTTGCTCCTCTTCAGACTCATGTTCCTCGTTTGCTTGCACCTGTTGCTGCCCCTGCTGCCTTGCACCAGCACCCTCGCCCCCAACAGCAGGCTCATCTTCTGCTGGTTCAACAAGTGCAGCAACCGTAACATCAATCACATGCTTCACCATGCTTTCATTATCGCTGATATCCATATCAGCATCCCCTGATTCAACCCCAGCACCAAACACCAACTTTGTGCCGCTACATTGACCCCTACAATCCTTCTCATTCTCACAGGCTCTTCATCAGTATCACTGTCAGTATCGACTTTAATTGGAGTATCGTAGTTGCTTCCGAGTTCAGGTTCCTTACCCTTACTTCCGAGTTTTGCCTCTTCAGCCTTGCTTTTCTTTCGAGCAACCTCATCACACTTGGCTATCTGTGCATCACAATCTTTCGTAGCATCCAACATTTCATCCATCTTCTTTGACGCTTGTGCTCGAATTTCCGCCCAAGCCACATACTGACCACGGAGACTATCTTTGCGCTTCAGCAGAAAATTACGGTACCAATCATCAAAGATTGTATCATTATCGCCATTTCCAGCCATTGTAAAACTTAATTTTCAATTGAGGATGAGAGAAAGAAAATAAAAGAGGAAAGAAAACCTTTTCAACTTTCACAGAGAGGAAAATGAATTTGGGGATATATGAAGATAATGACGACTCTTCCAATTCTTCCTGCAAACCGTCACTCACTCTTCCTAACATGTCTTTTCATTTGTCTATCATAACATGCAGAAGCACAAAATAAGTTGCAATGTTTCATACAACCCACGTGTACGAGAATACATTCGGATTATAACTTTACATATAAATAATTCAATTCCAACGATTTTAAAAATTGTTACAATAAATTTAGCGCATAGGAAAATCAAAAAACAAAACTATATTTAAACAAATTATAATTTCCCCAGCAACTTTAAAGCACTCATTTTTTTAAAAAACTCCTTTCCATAACAATAAAAGGCTTATTTTTTTAAAACAAAACTACTTCACTTTGTGTCACTTAAAATAAATAGTCTAACATATCGTATATCATATATAAAATCATAGTGTAATTAAATGGCTTTTTTACCAATATTATCGTAACATATTGTATATCATGTAAGATATATATAATTGTTTTTTTTTTTATAATGACAACAATAGTCTCCACTACATTTATGGTATGCAAAAACACCTATCCGACCAAATACTTTGTTAAAGGCATACCTATAAATTTATCACAAAAAAATATATGTTTATAATATATAGTTTATATAACTCCAAAAAATGAAAAAAAAAAATAAAAAAAATGATAACAACAAATTGACTAGAATTAGATAACAACAAATTTGGCATACGTCTCGTAGCTTTCTGTATTTTAGTCTACACCTGATTCAAATACAGAAATTGACTAAAATAACAATGATTTAGTACCTACGAAACTAAAATACAGAAATTGACTAAAATAACAATGATTACTTCCTTACATTACAATTGGCAACCACACTCTTTGCAATTCATCTCAAAATTTACCTTCCAAATTTGCAAAAGCCCAAACATTGGCCCATACCACAATGACAAATAAAAATATACAATGTTGCTATAATTTTTTCTAAATAAAACAAACAATTATAAATCAAATAATATATCAAAGTCCATTCAACCAAATCACCTTTTCACTTCACACAAAGCATCATTATTATTACTTATTTAAAACGGACACACAGATTTTTAATCTAAACTCAACACAAATTCGAAAAACTAACACGTAAAAGCCCCACATTGTCTCATTATATACAAGAAAAACATACGACGCTTCACACTAGCATCGCGCGCGTAGCGCGCGCGGGTCCGCCTAGTGATGTAAAATAAATCAAACAAGTATTTGATATTGCTTTTTGAAGGTAATTAGAGAGGAAAAAATGGATCTAATAAATTGCAAAGGATTTGAAATTGATAAGTTTATAATTAATATAGTCCAACGAGTAATTTAAAAAGGTTGTATGATGTAAAATAAATCAAATATGTATTTTATATTTCTTTTTGAAGGTGGTCTAGAGGGAAAAAAATTTAAAATATGAGAAGGGAAAAAAATTTAAAAATATGAGAAGGGACTACATTAATTATATAGTTATCAATTTTCAAAAAAAAATATATGAGAAGGGAAAATTTTTTTATAAAATGAGAAGAGACTGCATTAATTATATAGTTATCAATTTTGGAAAAAAATATGTGAGAAGGGAAAAAAAATATATGGTGAGCACAAAGATTTGATCCTTAAACCACTAATCAAAACAATAATGCAATTCACCATCTTAGCTAGAGTCAAACTATGATAAAGAGATACAAAAAATATATAATAAATTTAATTAAATTTAATAGTGGTACATTACTTTAGTGGTACATAGCGGTACGCGTCATTTACTGTAGAATTTTCGCTATTTTATATGAAGAAAAACTACAAAGACGAACATATCTTAATCTTGTTTATGTTATTAAAGTATGCATAATTGTCTACCTTACAAAGATGTACATACATCTCTTTTAAAAAAATTAAAAAAAAAATAAAAAATCCACAACAGATTTATATTATAGACGTACATGTCTGCCTTCAAAAAAAAAAAATAAAAAAAAATAAAAAAAAAAAATTAAACGTTTGACGTACGGTTATAGTGCTAGCATCAATGCATCATGTTAGCCATAATTCT